TTTCGGACTCGTTCAGAGGGCGCAACCATTTCGCGAAACTACGTTTCGCGACACTAGATGCGCGAGAAAAATGCATCGTGTGAATGGGCCTTAAGTATAGTATTTAGCGAAATAAGAAAAATCGTTTTACGTCCTTTTCAACGTCGCCTACTTACGGTGTCGAGAATCTCGGGCGATGCTGTTTTGCTTTGTCGAGGGCTGTTTTAACCAGGGAAACGAAAAATAATCCAGACATTTTTAAAATAAAATAAATAAGGTATATTTTAGATAGACCTGATTTATTTTAATTAAAATAGATTATTATAATATTGCCACAGTTATACCTGCTCTATGACGCAGGTATAACGTGAAGATGTGAAGGAACGTGACTTTATACCCCTTTCGCGCAAGATCACTCTGGGTATTAGCACCTGTGAGGCAGCATCAATCGTATCGCCATAGCGGTGCTCGGGTTCCCGGATGTGTTCGAAGGTTGACAGGACGTTTAGTGCTTTTAAATTTTCGTATTCTCTTAGCTTTGTTCGATCTTTGGAATGTCTGAGAATCTATGCGACGTTTACGTGTCGTATGTAGGGCCTAGGGAAGTTGTTTCAGCCCTAGGTAACCGCATAATCGCAGTAACTTCTAGCGAGGAAGCTCCTGCGATCTTCACGTTGTGTACTAATCCTTACAAAAGTTATCGATGAATTTCAATTGAGTTTCTAATGTATTTTATAAGAAATAAATAAGAAACTCAATTGAAACTCGTTGATCACTTTTGGAATCAACGATTGTACGATACAACTTTTAGCATAAGATTTTCGCATTTTTCTAGCTTCGTTTGAACTTTAAAATGTCCGAGAATCGAAGCGAAAAGTATATTGTAAACGAATTATTTTTCATGAGCTCAATATTTCGCGATTTAGATAGGTCAAAGTTGAAGTTTTGGAATGATTCGCAATTTCCAATTTTCGCGACGCGGTGGGATCTTAATATAGATTCCAATGTGTTTACATTTTATTGGAATGGTTCGCGGGTCCTATTTTTTGCGAATTCTAGGCGACTCGCGAAATTCGCTAAAATTAAGTCGTTGCTGTACGTCGCGTTTTGGACCATGTGGAAATTGTTTCAGCCCTCGACCACGGAATAACCGCAGCAAATTTTAGCGAGTAGGCTCCTGCCATCTTTAACCTTTAGTACTAACCGACGATCTTGCAAATTGGCCGTTCTCAAGATTTTGATATAACGTGCTTTCGTTGTAGTACTTGTAAAAGTACTACAACGAAAGTTGTAGTACTTTTGTAGTACAGTAAGTGAAAAGCTGGAGTTTGTTTATGTGGCGTGCACGCGAACTCTTACGAAGTAGTCGGACCAATCATTGAAAAAAAAAAAGTTAATTACTGACGTTCATAAAACAGTACATTTACTCCCTTGCAACTCAGACCACACTTAGCAAGCAAGTCTTCATATTTTCGATTGATCAGTGCACGAATTACTGCATCCGACGTCCCTTAGAAATTAGTTATAGTAGGCTCTTGACCTTGCCGATCGGTATCAATAGTCCAGACTAACCTCCATCTGAATGGTCAAACTCCTCTTAGATCAGGGGTGCTCAACTCATAAATGACGCGGGCCAAAAAAAAAGTTTATTGGGCAGTGCGCGGGCCGCACCTAGTGTGACACGTTACACCTTTCTGCTGCAGACAGGTTTTTAATATCTGGCATCAACGCACTTGTTGCCGTCTTGAGCACATCTTGAAGTGTCATGTCCGTCATATAAAATTGGAGACTGTTCTTGTTGAGGGTCATCAGTGAGAACGTCTGCTCACAGACATACGCGCTCCCCAAAAGTGATGCAAGCTTCAATGCGTGGTCTTCAAGGTTTCCGTACTTGCTCCTTTGAAGGTTTCTGTAGAAGTCAAGCAGCTGAGACTCACGATGCATACTCTTTAGTCCTGGCGAGCACTGGAGGTCGATCGATGAGTTCTAGCTGCAGCGTCGGATCTGTGTCTTCCGGTGCGACAAAACGCGGATCGCGGAACAAATCGTAGTTGCTCTTCTCACTTTTGAATGCCTTGAGTCGTTGCTGGAACTCTGAGAGAAGGTTCTCAACCTGTGGATCGTATACACCGCAGCTACCTTCTCCCGACTTTCGCCGGTGGGAAAGAGCTTCTGGCAGTTTGGAAAGTGACCTAAGCTTCCACCCCCAAGCTGCAATTCGAACAGACACGCTTCCCTGTGAACGCGAAGATCGCGCTCACATGTCCAAAATGAGATGGTCCTTTCCTTGGAGAGCTGTGTTAAGCGTGTTCAGATGGCTTGAAATATTGGCGAGGAATGCGAAATCCCACAACCATTGTTTGTCCTCCAGCTCTGGTATGTGTGTCCTTTCCTCTCGCAAGAAAGCGATGATGTCGTCCTTCAGCGCGACGAAGCAGCTCCAAACATTTCCACGCTTGGCCAGCGAACTTCAGTGTGATACGGGATGACCGTGTGCTCACTCTCCATTTCTTTAAGGTACTCTTGAAACTGCCTGTGCTTCAGTCCCCGAGCACGTATAAAGTGGACAACCGAAGTCGCGACCTTCATCACATGTTCAAACTTCATTACTTTGGCACAGAGTGCTACGTGGTGTAGCACGCAGTGATATATTGCTTCAATTCTACACCACTGCACGCTTGAAGTATAAGCTAACAATTTAGTTTCTTCTTCCCATCATGTCTGGGGCTCCATCGGTACAGACACCTCAGTGATTTTTCCATGGTATTCACGACTCCAGCGTCCTATAGGGGGCGCCACCACCAAACAAACATGGCGGCTGAGTCCAGGTCGCGTCGGCTCGGCCGAGCCGCCTGAATGGGTGGCGCATTTAATTTAACAAATTTTCTTTTGCTGAATGCCCATTTTATGGGTATTTGAACTGAGACAGTTAAGTGTAGCCGGTGCGCTTAAACTTGCCGAGCATAGTTTTGTTTTGCCGGTGTTTTTTGTTCTTTTCATGTCAAACTTTCGTTTCGGAGACTTCGATCAAAACCGAAACTATGGGCTCCGGAGAAACGGTAATAGACTCTAATTAGTTTTGATCATCTAAGAAAAGCGGCGAGGGCTACAAAATTGTTCCACCGAGAGTAATTTTTAGCTAACTCGCATGCCTCGACCATGCGACTTATCTGTCCGCAAAATTGAGCTTTTGTGCCTGTCCGCGTTTCAAGAAACAGCTCCACTCGTGTGCTCGGTGAGCCTCGGTCAAGAACACAGGCTGCAGGAAAATTACGAAAATTAAGCAAGCGCTTCTTGAGCCAAGGAGCATGTCAACTCGCTGGCGCTTCACCAAGCAGCTGATACTCGTATATCAATTCAGGTTTTAGTAGCAATCGAGAAGTCATTTTGACGAATATGCGGATTATGTATTATATTACGTACTACCCACTAAAGCGATATTAGTATATTCTGCGGGTTGAAATATGAGCTTAGTTGACTAACTATTAGGTGAACTGCTGAATAAAAGTATATTTGACAGACAGAGAGATACTACTTAAACTTAGCCAAATGGTTCTAGCCGGTAGAACGGAGACGAATGCGGACAAACTGAGGAGAGATTTCATCGGAGATTCACTCAGACCTCTCTGCATTGAACTTGACTTGGAATCCTGAACGGATAAAATGAGTTTATTATTATAATGCAATTAAATGCAAAGGTGCAAGCGAGCTGGACAATAATGATGAAAATAATCCCTGGAGAAGGGGATAAAATGAGTATTTTTTGTGGCCGGTCAACCTGAGCAATGTAGACGTATATTGCTGCTGGCTTCGACAGGGTTTATAATATAAATATTGGAGGCGCGATAGATCCTAATGACGTGACAGCTTCTAACTTTGCGAGACGCGTCCCCCACCTTTTGAAAGCAGATAATTTCCCTCATTAATCATATGCAGCGAGCAGGTTTTCTGAATCAAGTAATTGCGAAATTAGCCCAACTCCTTCAATGTGGTCTTTTTCGGCGAAAAGCCGCCAAGATGAATAGCCAACGCACCGGCCGGCGTTAGTGGCTCAAATTAACTTTAAGCTAATCGAGCACAACCAAACTCAAGGAAAGCAGCTATCGAACCTTCCGATTCACTTGACTGCAACATTGGTGTTCCCTCCAGTGAAACACTTCGTCTGTCGACCTCAGTCCACTGTTCTACATCCTTATAAAGAAACCACTTATCAGTTACCAAGCAGTCGTCACTTTGAATGTGATTAGAGACAAACGAGAAATCAAAACGTTTTTCCGTGATTCCTCCTCATCCAAAAGAATTGAAAGCACGCGACCGTGTGTTGTGGAGTAAACGGGCTTTCAAACACGTGATGGAAAGAAACAATCTACCGAGGCTTCACCACACTGATGAACACTCAGGCAAACTTAAGAAATTTTCGGACCTTCGTCAGCTCACATTGCTCGCCCCCGCGCCGACAGCACGTGTCCGCGAAAGCCATCAGAGACGCGGCGGGGCGCGGAGCGACCTGGACCGACTGGTTCCCGGTTTTCCCGCTTGGCGGCGTCCGTTTTGCTGGAGTCGCGAATACCTTGAACTTCTCGATGACGTCTTTGACCTCCTTGCTGATCTTTCCTCCCGTAGTCCGTCCGCGCATTGAGCAAAGTTCTGCCAGCTCCTGGGTTACTTTAAAGTTTTCGTTCACACCACAGATAAAAACAAGCAGCTGAGCGCGGTGTCTTTGATGTCTGTGCTCTAATCCAAAGCAAGACAGTACTAGACAAAATGGCTGCAAAGTCTTCTCCAGCTGTTTTGACAGGACGTCGGCATTGTCATGCACACGTCGTTGTGCTGCCGTTTTTCACAGGCTGAGGTGGTGGAAAACCTACTTCTTGTCCGGGCACGTTCCTTCAGAAGCAAACGTAAGACATTCCTCGATGAAGTCACCATCAGTAAACGGACGACCTGAACGAGCGATCTGTCGAGATATCTGAAAAGACGTCCACGTGGCTGCTTGAGATGTGTTCTTTGCTTTCGTAAAGATGCTTTGCCCAGCAAGTAACCTTTTCGGACTTCGTTTTTCTCTCCGAATCGCGGGCATGTTTGGTCTTATAATGGCGTCGAACGTGGTACTTTTTTAGGAGCCGCGAGAGACTCTCGAAACAAGACATAAGCACTTCGATGCATTCTCAATGAAAAAGTACCTCCATGTCCACTTTTGGTTGAATCTCTGTCCCTCCTGGTCGCTTTTTCTGTTCAATGGAAGTGCACTCATATTCCAAACGTAACACGACTAGCTTTTCTCGACGCAAAAAAATAATCTGGCGCATTTTTCTTCTACAACAAGCCGTCACAGATCATGTCCCAACAGGAGGGGAGACGGCTGTAGCCCCCGTGGCGAGGGGGAAGAGGAAACGGGATGAAGGACAACAAGTAAATACGATACCACTAATGCTACGCCAATACTGGAAACTCCCGCGGCGCGCGGCCGAAAAGTGAACGCAGGCTTTTGCATTGTTTTTCTCTGAGGTTCTAGTGAAGGGGGAATATTTGAATTTTGAACTGAGGGCGCGGAGTTTCCCCCGGAAAAGAGGACTGGGGGAGAAAAGTAGGTCAACGGGTTCGAATAGGGTGCCTTCAGGCACTCTAGGTTCGAATACTTTCTGTCAAGTGAATGGCCACGGTGCATTGAATGACACGGTGAGCGGTTTCTGCGCTCAGCTGGGCCGCGGGCCGCACAAAAAGTGCCCGCGGGCCGCATGCGGCCCGCTGGCCGTATGTTGTGCACCCCTGTGCTCCAAGCGGTATTTCCTGCAAGTGAAACATTTGCTGGATCGCCTCTTTCAGCTCTGGGGCTAACTTCCGAGTAACTGCGGTAGCTTGAAGCGTTTAGGGCTAAAGGGGACTCGGCCCACGCACTTCTTTCATTCTTGACAGGAGCGTTGTATTTATTGTTCTCTTTGACATTTAAACTGGATACTAACTTCAAGGGAGCACTCACCTTAAGGCCTTAAGATTTTTACCGAGAATGGCGTCTCTGTTTTTATTGATAACGCGTAGCACTAAGGGAAAGGGCACAAACTATGTGCTGCCCAGGATATGTCCGTAGCCACGCTTAAATAGCGGGAGAGCATAGAAGCACCGTGGTACATTCGAAAATATCCCTACCCAACGCCGCTATGCTGGTGCGGAAAAATCCAGGTAAGAGAAAGGAAAATCGTGTTTGAACGCGTTAACGTTTTAACGTTAACGTTAACGTTTAACGAGTCTTGGAGTTCAAATCTTGGCTCCGCCGTTTATTTTTGACCTTCAGCGGGTTTTTAAAACTGATTTTTTTCGATCAAGTCCGATTTATTCATCTGAATACGCTCGGTTATTTCATCTTTGACATACCCAGCCAAACAAAAAAAAAAAAAAAAATATTACAGCTTGTTTTATTAGTTAGCTTAAAAAAAGATTTATTTGCCTTTCATTACGCGTTTAGATTGTTACGAAACTGGTGAACGAAATTTTTATTGATGTAGACCCAGCCATACTAAAAAGATACAGCTTGCTCTTTTGGCTAGTAAGACAAAAAAGGTTTATTTGCTTTTTATATCGTGCTCTTACGTTGCGTCACTAAAGAACGACGAACAAAGTGCCAGATAGAAAAGAAAAGCTAATTAACGCTCCAATTTTCTCTGAAGACCTCGTGTTGAGCCTCATCTAAATCTTCCTTTCTTGACGGGTTTTTGATTTAAATGCAAAATAAATAATAATTGTGTTATGTGTACGTTTATGCAGCCGGAAGTTAGTCTGCCTCAGTGGGTGTCTGGTGTCTCGGCTGTAGATGAGCAATTTAGCCAGTGCGATACAAGCGCACTGGCTAAATTGGGTTTTTGGGTTTTTAAGGTGCACCACGCATTAGTGATACATGACCGCACGCCGGTACGATGCTGATCCAGATCGGAACGGGCAAGGGGGGGGGGGGGGGGGGGGGATTGAACCCAGGAACCCAGGGTTCCGCAGAACAAGCTCTCGCTCCACGCGCTCCGATCAAGCTCCGGTGCGTAGCACACTCGACCACCGATTCCCCGGAAATACAAAGGTAATGCGTATAGAAAGCATACAATATTAGACAAATGGTAAAAAAAAAAAAAATAATAAACAGACATATATATTTACATTATTTTTTAGGGAGAAGGTTTGACGCAAATCACCGTAATAAAGCTGGTCTGATATAAATCACGATTTAAATAATATTGACCTTTTATCCTACAAAGTACAAAGTGCGGTTTGGTGAAAATACAATTTTCAATGGAAGAATTAAATCGTTTTTATTCTCCACCCTGGTATTAAAGGGGCACTGACACCCCAAAGGTCGTATTTATTTTTATTGTCTAAAACGATGCAAGTTGCAGTCATAGACACGCAAAAAAAACCGCATCGCGAAAAAAAATTTTCCCGCGCGCGCGCGCGCCTTTTTATTTTTGGCGTTTGATTTTCCCGCCTCTCGCCTCCTCGCTTCTTTTGATCGGTGACGTCAAAAATCATGAAATTTAGAAGCTTTGTAGGCGACATCTCTATAACATTTAATTACGGCAATCCTAAAACATGTTTTTTAACGCAATTGCGAACGCACTACGGCCCTTCTTTTTGAAATACCAAAAATCGGGAGTTCGTTGTGGTGCCGTCTCCTGGATTTGTATCCTCCAACGGAAAACGGGCGACACCGCTCAAAACCGGTCCGCCGCAACGCCGCCGCTCACTCCTTTCCTCCTCGCTTTGGGTCGCCATGGCAACAGCAGGGAGTGGTGAAAGAAAGTCGACTCTCAGGTCTCCGCAATTTTTGACGTCAAGGCACCGGCGCCGATCGCGCGGGAACTTCGAATTCGGCATTTGGAAATTGTTTTTTTACTTCACAAATACTGAATTCCCAAATTTCAAATTTTGAGGGTAATGTCCCGGCATCGTTTTCAATCGTTTCGGATAATAAAAAAAATATGATTTTGATGTGTCAGTGCCCCTTTAAAGGGATGCTGAACCGAAATTTGGAACTCACAAAACAAGGCTGGAGCGATAGGCGGGGGCGCTGCAAAAACAAAAAAAAAAAAAAAAAAAAAAAATCGCTTACACAGCGATATCTCTAACGCAGTGGTTCTCAAATGGCGGCACGCGGACCCTTTGGGGTCCGCGATGGCATCCTAAGGGTCCGCGAAGCCCTTTCTTATTGAGAAGAAACGTTCCAATATTCGGGTGAGTTCTTTTGTGTGTGTCAATGAGATAAGTCTACTTCATACTAGAAATTACATATATTCATTTACTGAATCGTTATCACGATTAACCTATACTTTTCTGTCCCCCTCGCCCAGACCGAGTCCTTCATCATCTCCGCAGATCTATAAGAGGTCCACGAAACATAAATGATTGAGAACCACTTCTATAGCGGATGGACGTATTTTCGGAAAAGAAGTGCGGCATTGAACACGGCCGACGAGACATGCGACGTCGCGATTCTCCATTCCTTCTCCTCCTCGCTTCGTCCCCCCAAGCAGGTGAACGGAAGCGAGGAGGAGAGAAGCGAAGCCGCTTCCCCTCATTCTCAACTGTTCGAAGAGAATTATGACGTCACATTCCTCGCTTGATCGCGCCCTTCTCTTCCAAAAATACGGCCATATCCGTTTGAGATATCTATGTAGGAGTGATGTCTTGGAGTTCGTAGCGTCTCGTTCAATGCTTCTTATTTTGCGAAATTCAAATTTCGGTTTGCAATTTTAGATCTTTGTTCCAAATATATTGCAACCACAGTTTAAACTACCAAGATGGATGGAGTGTCGTTACCCTGAAGCCCCTGAAGCGTAGCCATTTTAGCAGTGTTGGGAACTACTTTAAGTAAAGTACTACTTGAAGGAGGTTTAAGATACTTGAACTTGAAGTACTACATTCTCTCAGCATGTACTTACACTTTACTTAAGGTATTTCTTTCTGGTGCCTTCCGATGAAAGTAAAACTCAGGACTTCAAAGTAGATTACCCAAGCTTGGACTTGTTAAATTTGTATCACAAAATGATGCTTTGTCAACTCTGAAGTCAATTCACTTATTCAATCTTTGGCGCCATTTCCGAAAATAACTGATGCACCCCTGATTGTTCTAAAACAATAAATACTAATTCACAAAAAAAAAAGGAATTGCATAGGGGAATGAAAGGGCACCATGAAAGCTAAAGAGTACTTGTACTTTACTGAAACCACTTTGTACTTGTAGTACTTTACATGAAGTACACTGCACCCGGTGTACTTATACTACACAACCTCTCATTTACTCCGTTTTTAGGCGTCCTTTACCCTACACTGCTCTTCAGTCGAAAGTTTTTTTCTTTTGTAGTGCGGTTTCAGACTAGCTCCCGTGAATAATAATTGGGGTTGTGTGGATATTTATACAGCGTGTAGTTGGTCAGCCATTTCAAAGTTGCGACGAGTTACTCGCTGTAGATGAGCAATTTAGCCAGTGCAGTACAACCGCTAGCCTAAGGTCTTTAACGTGCACCACGCAGTATTGATACACGACCGCACGCTGGTACGATGCTCATCCAGATCGAAACGGGCAGGGGTGGGGATTGAGTCCAGGATCCCTGGGTTCTGCAGCGCGAGCTTTCGCTCTACGTGCTCTGAGCTGGTGTGCGCTAGCCCACTCGGCCACCGATCCCCCCAGCTCCCGTGACCTTCGGCGTAACCGCAACAATGTGTTGTTGCGCTCTTTGTTGTGAATACCAACGACCTCCCACTTTCGTTTTCCCCTGACGTCAGTTTACTTGCTCATAAATGCAGTGCTCATAGTTCAAAGAGCCATAGCGAAAACAGATGGCTTACTATATTTAATCTGCAAAGGGATCTAGCCAAAATCACCGAGGGGTCCGGGTTTTAAAGCAAAATGAATTCAATATTGAAGAAAGAAGAAACATGTGGCACAAACAAAACCACATCTTTCAACTATATTGTTAGGGTGATGCAAATAGACCCTTCCCTAAATTCAGTGACATCTGGTGGCTATAATGGCAGTTTAACTTTTGCCGTACTAATGGCGGCAATGCAAATGGAGTCTGCCGTATTTTATCGGGCACCGTCACTTTGGCAAGTCAACGGCAAACGAGAGTGTGCGCTTCACTGTACATTCCCTTCTCAATCTCTTTCAGTGAGGACATAAACAAAGATGCAACCAGTCAGAACGAAGCGTCAACCCACGTACACGGCTTGATAAAGTTCTACAAATCAAGAGGCTTTGGAGCACCTTGATGCTACCAACAGATTCTTGCTTTCAATTTCTGCTTCGTACCGTGCTAACGTCACGAATGTATAAGCCTCTAATTATCTGCTAAGGAGCATCTTCAATTTCTCCGTTGATCAGTAAACAGAAGGCCGGCATTAGTACGGCACATATGCCATTTTTCCGATGATGATGGTGATCAAAGTGGCGAGTCTGAATTTCGGAAAGGGTCTATTGTTGTGCATATGTTTATACAGCCGGAAGTCAGTCTGCCTCAGTGGGCGTCTGGTGTTTCAGCTGTAGGTGAGAAATTTAGCCAATGAAGTACAATCACGAGGCCTGGTGTTTTTAACGTGCACCACGCGGTATATAGTGATAGACGATTGCACGCCGGTACGATGCTCATACAGATCGAAACGGGCAGGGGTAGAGATTGAGCCCATGATCCCTGGGTTCTGCAGCGCGAGCTTTCGCTCTACATGCTCCGAGGTGGTGTGCGCTAGAGCCAGTAAATGAGCTGAGCTTAGAGTATCGGCACTCCGTTCCCCGACATTGTTGTGGGCGCCGCCATTTTGGTGCTTGTGCAGGGCAGACGTAACTGCCGATTGTCCTGATTCAAACGTGCTACTTCCTCAGCATCCGGTTCGGTGTTAGGAAGCTCATGTAATATTGCTTTGCTTTGTCGCGAACTGTTTAAACATTAGGGGAGGACGGAAAAGCGTTTCCTGTGATTTAAGATAAAACTTCAGATAACTGGCAACCATGATTTTAACCCCCAATATGGCCAAGTGTCGTTACTCTGAAGCGTAGCTTATTTGGTGGCACAAGTGTGCGCTAGCTCACTCGGCCAGCGATCCCCCCAGTTCTGATACCTCTGGCTCGCTCACTGCGGGCATCCAGGCATCTGACACCCTGATTTCTGGCGCTTCTTCTGTCTTTCACGTGGCGTACCTAGCGGCACACGACGGCAAATTCACATCAAGCTATTTTTGAGTAGGTGTCGCCATCTGTATTTTATATTAAGAAAATGCATTTTGCCGTAACTAAATGGGAAAGGTTTGAGGTCTAATAACATTTTTAACGTCTGATAAATCAATATGGAAGTTCTAGAAAATGTAATATCGAAGGACGCTTCGTAATATAATGTCTCGTAATTTGGTTAGTTGACGTGATTCCGATTTTATAGCACCATACAAAATTCAATTTTAAACTTTATTTTTTATTTTAAAATATATATTGTCTGTACAGTTCTTTGCTTACTTTTTAATTCGTTATATCTAACCGAAAGCTCACGTAAAATATCGAGGACGATGGGACGTTATAACTCGAGAAATAATGTTTTCAATATTAGAGACTGTGGTCTATCAAAAGCTGAATAAATAACTAACAGCTAGAAATAATTGCAATAACGAGACATTAAAGTATACCGTTGAAAAACAGTTCTTTAAATTTACATTAACTTGGCGATTGTAGGATACATAACAATAAAGTTATAAACCGTAAAAAAAGCACCAAAACGTCATGCACGGTGGGGTTGCACCTTAGTTTCCCAGTACTCCGGGCCCAGTCCTATGTCCCACAGCAAGTGTGTAAATACGAGGGGAAAATCTGAGCAAGAATACAAGTCGAAAAAAAGTAGGACTTGTTCAAGAAGCGCTAACATCCCGATGACGCTAATATTGATAATCTGCGAGATCAATATACTTCTTAAGTTACTCCTATTTACGAGCGGTAACAGTAACAGTAAAAATGCACGCACTATAAAGGGTGCTTCTTTTTCTATTATTGTCCTGAAATTTTCGGGCGGCAAGGCGCTTCATTATGGTGTCGGAGGACTACCCAATTAATATTTTGCAACAGAGTAGCGTATTTTTTTAATAAAGCCAAAACACGCAACTGCTCGAAACCGAAATCGAAACCCGACGGAGGTCGGAGAAGTGGAGAGAAGTGAGTGACTGGCGGAAGTCACGTGGCTACACCCGACCGTGCGTTTTTTTTTTTTTTTTTTTCTCCTCTCCGGGTAGCAGACGACACGACATGCGGCGTGCGATGCGGCGTGCGGGAACCGCTCGCCGTGCAAAATTCTTTTGCAGTTAACGTTTGTTCCGCTCGTTGTTCTGTACTCCAAGATGAGTTGTTTTGTACATTGAGGAGTTGGAAATGAGTAGTGAGTGCCCGTGGTGAATTTCCATGATCGGCTCCGAAAAGAATACACCCAAGATGTTGCGTGAAGTAATGGCTCACATGTCCTGCATCCGAAAAAAAGTGGCATTGTGCGACAGTTTCCGAAAGATCAACGGGATCGGGACCAATGGCTGGCTGCAATTCCTGTAGAACATTTACGGGCACCTCGGAAAGCGGACGCTACCTGATTTATATGCTCCTTGCATTTTGTGGAAAGTGATTACATTGAGTTCGCAGGTGTCAAAACGGAAATCCCATACCATTTAATTCAGCGAAGTATCGTGCGCAACATTTGTTTGTTATTTTTTTTTTGTTTGCTTCTTCAGTGATGATTGTAAAAAAAGAGAAAAAGATATGTAAACATCAAAAAATGTTTGAAAAAAAAATATAATAACACTTCACGGGGGATCGAACCCGGTCCTACCGCGTGTGAAGCGGACGTCTTTCCCACTGAACTACTGAGGCATCTTTTTTTTGTTGGATATCTTTCCTTAGTAATAATTCAGCCGGCAAACTGTAAGTTGGAAAGTTTGCAGTCGATTTTTCTCTAGCAAAAGCACTCCCGGGTCGACGTCGGGAAGCACCACGCTTTGGGGACATTCGCACCTAGGAAAGAAATCGTACGTGTGCATATTCAACTCGAAGTAGACACGTCGTGCTTGACGTTTGCGCGAGCGTTGTCTTCAGCCACGAGAAGGCAGCGACGGCTCGGCGACGTCTTCGTGCAAATCGGCTTGGTGGCCGGGCGTGTCGTACGGGATGAATACCAATTCTTTTGATCAGTCCTCTTTTAACGGTAGACAGAATTCGCCGGTACCGCGAACGACAGTTCTAAAATAGAGGTCCCACGCCCGTCGTCCGCTGCCATCGCCGTCCCCGCGAGCCCCACGATACGCGAAACGACGAACGCACAGAATGCTTCCGGTTGTCTGTGGAACTTTTTTTCAATCAACGTATTTACAGCTTCTTAGAAGCCACAAAAAATGGTTTTCATACTTTTTTCTATTTTTAATATTGAGTGTGTGCCTTCAGTGACCCACGACTTTGATTGAATTTGGTGGTCGCATCGATACCTTAGAAAACGGCCCGTGACCGCGAAAAAGAGAGTGAGCGAGACTCGAACCGGCCAGTTCTTGATCGGCGGTTTTCGGGCGGAAAGAAACCGAATTTCAAGCCGCAAATTCTGTTCTGGGTAGTTGAGCTCTCATATGTCACGTACAACTAAAAACCTCGGCGAGCATAAATACCCTGTCAGTGTCCCTTTAAGTTACTCCTATTTACGAGCGGTAACAGTAACAGTAAAAATGCACGCACTATAAAGGGTGCTTCTTTTTCTATTATTGTCCTGAATTTTTCGGGCGGCAAGGGGTTTTGACTTTACCCCCATTTTAAAAATTTTCGCCAAGAGTGAGAAATGGGTTAGTTAGTACATCGTTCAGGTGGGACGCCAGAGGTCGTCGGGCTACCCTGATCGTTTTCTTCAGGAGGCAGCCGAAACACTACGGTTTCTAAGATTAAGAGGAAAAATAATGACGAGGAAGCACCGAGGTACACACGGTTTCACACAACCTAAAAAAAGGTGGCGCCGCATTTTGATGTGCCGGTACCAGTAGTGTCTTCGGCCCCAGAAAAGCTGTCTGGTCTCTGCCAAAAAAATGAACAACAAAAAAGATGAAGATGACGTGGAAAAAAAAAACAAAAAAAACAACAACACTTAAAGCAGTTTCTAGAACGTGCCTCCGCGGTCGTGCATGAAATTCCTATGACTTGCGGTGAGGCGGGGTGAGGCTTACGTAGGTTAAACGGACAGGTGCGTCAGTGACGGTGCAGAACAGAACGCGCTGTCAGTAAGGAATTCCCCCCAGGCAGTTCGGCTATTCATTGCGATAGATGTCCTTGCGCCCCTGAAATGAAAAAAAAAAAAAAAAAAAAAAAAAATCTGGGGAAGTTAAGAAACAAGATCTCGAGAGAATTGTATGGGTAATTCAACATCCGAATGCAAGGAGGTAACACCGGCACGTAACCGGGGGGGGGGGGGGGGGGGGCACATGGGAATTATGCATTTGCGTCGGAGAGCTTGGCCGCTCTCAGACGCAAATGTGTGAACGTATACTCTTTCGGGCCCAGGCATATACCTTTCGTCACTGTGGAGCTTTCGGCCGCCGTTGCTGCTGGTGCTGTTCATTTTTCTCCTGAGGATTCCAAACGCAGGTGAGCGGTGTATTTCGATGGACGTTTCTCCCTTAAATGAGGTGTAGCATATTTTTTTTTGCTTCGCTGACTACACTCGTTTAACAGTTGAAATTTTATGCTGTGCAAACTACCGGGTGTTTGTGAGATATTCGAACCCGGCTTTTCGCATCGCAAAAATAAATTTGACACTGGGAGGAGCTCCAACTCCGTCAGAACGCAGCCCCAGCCGTTCGAGCAGTATGCCAATGTTTCAGCACCAACCGTTACCTCATTTAATAGTTATAAGCAATTTTCTGGTAATTTCAATGAAAAAATGGCGGCCGGCGGAGTTCTCAAATGTATAGAGCTCCGTGGCGCCAGAAAACAAAACCGAGCGAAAAGGGGCCCCATTTTCCTATTGTAAATAAAAACAAGAAAAGAAAATAATAATTTATAGTTTTTGAATAAGATAACGGTTGGTGCTGAAGGTTTGGTATCTTGCTCGAACGGCTGGGGCTACGTTCTGACGGAATTTGAGCTCTCCGGAATGTCTATAGTTAATCTTTGCGGTGCGAAAGCCGGGTTCGGATTTTTCATGAGCACCCGGTATAATACTAGTACTTGTGTTTTCAAGATTGTTCATTATAACGAGACGTGAGGAATTTCGTGAATACAGATTGTATTAATGGTGATTTCAATATGATACAAGCTGCTCTGAGAGCTAGAATTATAAAGGAAGCATTTTTTCAAGGTACACTCTAACAAAAATCTGGTCGTAAAAGAACTCTGAGGGGTCCTTCGGATTGTCCATATTTTGCATCGTAAAACATTATTTTAAACATCCCCTATAGGGTTCTTTGTAAAGAATCTTTACGAGGTACTTTGAAGCTCCTTTTTTGATGCAAAATAGCTTTTCATCGCCAAGTTACCTTTCTAGTGTGTCAGGGTGCAATAGTGCCTGAGGAAAAACCGTTCTTTAAGAGCTGAAATACTTCTTGAAGCGTCAAAGATCTCTCAATGAGAGATTCCATTTTTTAAGGACGTATGCTTTGTATCAGAATGTTTTATCGGCGGATTATGCGCTGGGTGTACGGACTATGCGCCGCGAGAGGGCTATCGATTTGTCCGGAAAACACGATGCTTGTGGCGCATGTCTTTTCGTAATCTTTCAACGAAAGACACTCGCGAACTTTAGTATGTTTCCTACCCAGCGAAGCACCCCGGGACGACTAATCGTTGGTCTGCTTTTAATTAGGTTAGCCAATGGGAAGGCCGACTTGTACCACGGCCCGGTATCACAGGAAGTCCAGCCTTTTCACCACTCACTGATACCTAGCTGCCATTAAAAAATACTCGTTTTGGGTTTTGATGCAGACCAAATGACACGCCACAATCATGTTGATATGTTGAACTACGGTAAACTCCGGCGAAATTTTGATGACGAAAGTAATCCCTGGAGAAGGGGAACAAGAGGGACAAAGGACAAACATAAATCTCCAAACACAGCTAGGTGACTGGTGAGCGACCGAAAAAATCCGCCTAGTGCAAGCGAGCTGAACATTCTTGTCCAGCTCGCTTGCACCTTTGCATTTAATTGCATTATAATTAAAGAAATTTTGATGGTCACCAATTTATCTAAAAAATTTACTCAACACGGTAATACGCACATCTGAACTGGTAAGCACAAATAAACACACACAAAAAGGTTTTTGGTTCACGAAATTATTGAAGTTTTAAATTTGGTCTGAGAGACTGAGGGCTCTACTGGCAACACTGAGAGCGTGACGTCCGACGTTTCAATATAGACAACACGGGGAGAGTACTGCTTGTTTCCGACGGATCATAAGCAACTTGATGGTGTGAAATGAGTGCTGCACTCACGCCAGCAAAACGAAGAGAAAAAAATACACTGCGTTTTTTAAGACTGCCACTTCGCCTTGCCATTGATCCAAGATGTGACGTCACACCACTAGAGAGTAGGGGAAAAGTTGTATTTGTTTTAGGCATCAACCTCATTTGTTGTTTTCTGAATATATACTTCGAGGGCTGGTCAAGCCTCCTTTGAGGCTTTTACCCTTTGCTCCACCATGCTTCATGAAAATAAACTATTATTATTATTATTATTGTTATTATAATTTAATGGCGACGAATACCACACTAGAAAGAGTAAGAGCCTGGGTAGTCCAAAAACGTGCTTAATTTAACACCCCCCCTTCACACACACACACAAAAAAAAAAGGACAATTTTTTTTAAGGAAAGAGTATTGGTGGGCGTTTTGAGTACTATACATGCAGGCACTGGATAAAAGTGTAAGAAAGCAAGAAACGTTACGTTTGTTGGGTGAGTGTCATGTTTAAAATAACGATATATGTAGTATCTTAATCACACCGATAAAGCTGGGAGACACAAGCTGTGCAGCGGAAGAAGAACCTGTGTATTTATCTCGTCATAATTAATGTCTTATCGTTATAATTAATAATCTGTACTTAGCGGAACTCATTAAGCTTAGCTAAACTCGTCGGGACGGAAGTCTTCTGAATTTAATGGCCGTGTCACGGTTTCTCGTAACGCTTTTTTCTGACGTGACGCTTTTTGTTTACAACGACACGTCATTGAAACCAGGCCTAGCTATTATAGCACATACAGTGTTAAAATCAATTGACGGCCAATTTTTTTTTTATCTTAAACCAAAAGGGCACTGCAGGCTTTTATGGAATTTTCGCGCATTTTACTAATATTCGGAATTTAAACGTCGATCCTTTATTGTGTATAATCCTCTTAATTTAGACAAAAGAAAAATAGTCTTCTTTTTTTTTAATATTGCAGTTTTTTTCCTAAATTGACGATTAACGGTAATTTATTTTATTTTTACCGGCGAGTGTTTATCGCATATCCACAATAAATATAATATATAATGTAGGTATAATTAAAAACAAATGGCAGAATTGCTTGATCTTGTTATATTGTATGGCGGATGACAGTGTACTGCAGGACGAAACGAGGTCGGATTGTGTGACTTGTTTCGTTTTTCTGTTGTCGCAACAAGTTTAATTTCGAATGTCTTCTTATTTTTTTCCAGAGATGTGTCAAAGCCACACACCTCCGGTACCTACGAAGCCCCCCTCAGGTATATTACTTTGGACACTGGCTTCATGAGATACGCGACTTAACGGTCGCGAAGGTGGGCGGGACTTGAACTAATTAGAGCGCAGCTTTTAGGCGTCCGTTTCCGGTTTGAGCGGAGTCGCCGTCGGCGTCGGCGTAACAACGCGGTGCATTATAGGAAACGTCCCATAATGTGTCGCGCCGAAACGTTGCATTACGACGCGCGTTCCGCGCGTGAAAGAAAGAGGGGAGGAGGAGAGGGTACGGATGAGAAGGAGGGGCATACACTCCCCTCAGTACCCTTTCCTCCTCCTCCTCAAGAGCTGCGCTCTAAATCGGCGTTACAGGAACTTGTAAACATCTTTCATTTTTTCTTTCCCCTTAAACCTTGTTTAGTTGTTGGTAACATTTAAGAAATATACGCTTGTTTTCTGTTTACAAACACGAGCCGGCTCTTGCCTCCCGAAAGACTTTCTGTCACTCCGTTCGGCAGACATTCCCCGAGCGTATGTTTATGTTAGGAAGCATGGTGTAAGGCGCCAAAAAATAACGAACACAAGGAAGAAGACAGACACAGAGAACTCCCTTATGTCTTGCTTTTTGCGCCTTATTCCGTGCTTCCTAGCGTTCACCAACAAGCTCAATTGCAAGTTTTGTATATGTTTATGCCACGATTGGTAGGACGCTAAAGTGCAACAGAAACGACGCAGTTGAAAATTTAGCAACGTTCTTCTGCTATTTTACTATTCAACCTATAATAGATGACCACTCATGTAAGGGGAGTATTCACAAATATTCAAGGAATCTATCTGTATCCGAACCTTTTGCAGAGCAGCTATTTCGTGGAGGTTGCAAGTAGCAGTTATATGTTGGGGATTGTTTCTCCGTTCATTTGACCGGAAGTTGGTGGTTACGACACATGCAACAGCATCCTCTAGAGAAAAGTGCCTCTAGAAAACAAATGAGAAAACCGAGCAGAGTGAGCTTTCCTGATTCGGGGCATACTTGTGTAGCAATTAATTTACAGTAATTCAATTACTGCTCTAAACAATTTTGTAATTCGTAATTTCAAAATAATATTTTTGACCGAAACAAATTGTAGCTGTAATTTCGTTACGTTTATCCTAGGTAATTTGAGAAGTCGAATTACGATTGCAACTAGTTTATCCGTGATTCTGTCACGATGGAGCCTATGTCCTTCCGAGTGACTGACAATGCGGTGAACAGCTGCTCTCTTAGGTCCCTCTTGGCCAGCTCGTGGGGCTTTTAAAAGCGACAAAACGGTTCCCATGCGTCAACCATAGGTGCACAGCTGAGCAACTGTCAACGTGACAACACCTGCAGGTTGGCCCTAAACATGCCCCTCAGGTGCAATAAATTTCCATTGTGAGAATAGAGATAAAGTATAAAAATACAAAAGTTCGTGATGATAATGTGCACAGCTTGTCCCCACTAAAAAATGTAATTTTTTAGTTTTTTTTTTTTTTGCGCATAAGGAATCTACGCATTCCCGAAAGCTCATTTTTTGCTTAAATGTAGCGCTACTGGTCCGTACCAGCTGACGAAGTTTCAGAACTAAACGTTATCTCGATCAAAAGTTATGCCGACAATTTCAATAAGAAAATAAAGACCCTTTTTCGCCCGTTTTCGGTAACTGGTGCCATTCAGCTCCCGGCATTCCAAAGCTCCGTCCGCCGCCATTTTTTAGAGCGCAGCTCTTACGGGCCCGTTTCCGGCTTGAGCGGTGTCGGCGTCGCCGTCGGCGTCACCGTCGGCGTAACCGCGAGGTCACGTGACCCCCAGAAGTCACGTGACCCCCTTGAGGTCACGTGACCCCCTGAGGTCACGTGACCCCCAGAAGTCACGTGACCCCTTGAGGTCACGTGACCCCCTGAAGTCACGTGACGCCCCTTGAGGTCACGTGACCCCTGAAGTCACATGACTTCTGGGGGTCATGTGACCCCTTCAGGTCACGTGACCCCCTGAAGTCACGTGACCCCCTTGAGTTTACGTGACCTCAAGGAGTCACCTATCCCTCAGTACGCTTACATCTTCCTTCTCAAGAGCTGCGCTCTAACCGGTGTTACAGGGCATTGTAAACGGCTTTCATTTTTTTTTCATTGAAAACTTAAGAAAATCACTTATAACTTTTGAATACCATAACTGTTAGTTCTGAAACTTTGGCATCTGGTTCGCACCTCTGGGGCTAAATTTGGGCAGAGAATGACATTATTTTTGCGGTGAACAATAACCTTGTAAATGTTTAGGAGACGCCTCGTACATTGAATATCTTACCGCGACTCTTGTCAGCTAATTATTAGAATAATATAAGAGTTTGTTCCTCCATTCGGTTCTTTCGGTGCAAAGCCTCCTAAGAAAACCAGTTTTGCTTTGAAATGTTGTAATAAAAAGTAGACTAAAATGTGCGTGGTGTTGCGCAATATCATACAAAAAATAAAAGTAAAGAAAGAAACTGACTCACACCACAAGTTATACGGGAAATGAAGAGGTGAAACAAAGGCTTGGGATGTGAGGAATCTAAAATGCCGTATACTGTCTCCTCAAAGTTGAACATATAAAATATATTACTACACGGCATTGATCTCTGGTAGCTCTCAAAGCAAAGCATTTGCTAAGTGCTTGCATACTCTTTAAAAATAATAATTTAATTGTAATTAATAGCCTTTTGTGTGATAGTAGTTTTAATTGTAATGAACTACTCCCTCTGCAGTAAAGCAGTTGTAATTGTAGTTGACTTATATTTTTGAAGTACTTCTTACCCAGGCATGATATATGAACAGAAGTTGTCGGGTGTTTCATTGGCGGATCGTACCGAAAGTGTTTATCAAAGCCACGCGCCTCGGTTTGCTGTGCTGTGGGCCGAGGCGATTAGATTTGCAAAAGTCTTTTAACACGATAAAAAAAAGAGAAACATTTCTAAAAAAGAGGAACAGAAAAAAAAGCCGGCTCCAAAGGTGTGCACATGTGCGAAAAACCAACCAATATGATGGCACGAAATTCAGAGCATGAGAAAACATTTCCATTCCTTCACCATTTTTACGACGGAAAATAGAGCACGCATCGGAAATCGCAGACGTGTGCTTTGAAGTCGAGACACTACGGGAGCAGATACCCCCTATTGACCTTTGTGACTAACCGCCTCCCCAAGAGCAGTATTTCTCCTCTATTGTCAGAATCAGACATTTTGACCTTCGTACTTTTTCGATAGTAGCGTGGTACGATTTTAAGCGTTTCCCGAATTTCGCAGGTTCATCGATTGGTTTCTCTCACATGTGTTTCAACCTTCAAGGCTTAGATACTCATGCGAAAAACCATCTCATAAAAGGCCTACAACATCTCGTAAAAAAAAAACGAAGTAAAAAAAAAAAAGAAAAAAAAAGAAAAACGTATTGTTACTCTACAGAAATTGAGGATATACTTTTAACAATACTTCTGAAGACACTTGAGCACTTCTTACGAGCTGTGACTGCGAAAGTACACGTATAGGGGCACACCCCTTGTCCCACATGTAACACCCCAAAACTGCATTTGGACGTTCAGTCCACTAACGTCGAGCCAACTGTTACGAGCGGCTTGATAGCAATTGGATATAACGTGATAAATAGCTAATCTGCGTATCAGACTTGAAAAACAAGAAAAAAAAAACACTGAGGATTGGCAGCAGGGCCCAAAAAACCTTGGTTGTCTTACTGCAGCCTTTACTGCGTTCATTAGCTATTTTAATAGGTTGTATTGGTCGACTAAGGTATCGTCGGTGTGGACTGAACGTCGAATAGTTGTTTTGGGGCATTCCATACGGGACAAGGGGTGTACCCCTAGACATCCTCTATTTCTTAGAGTGCATTCTAGGCGCCAAGAAGAGCAGAAGCGGCCGCAGCACCGGCAGGGAGTGCGGCGGTGCGCCGTGCAGACCTCCCTGGCTCGCTGGTGATTGCTGCGCCGCCGGGTGAGGCAACGGCGGGAGTACGAAGTTTCTCTGCGCGGCGCCGGAAACGCGAAGCTCGGCGCGGCGCGTGCTGAAATCACTTGTCCTCTCATCATCATCATCGTCTTAGCTGCGGGTACCTGTTGACGACGTTACGTCGGCCTAACGTAGGGTTTAACGTCAGCCCAGCGCATACCCGCGTCCCCCCCCCCCCCCCCCCTCAAGTCAAACAGCTGCGCCTACCGGTTGACGACGTTAGACCTCAAAGCGTAACGATGCGCCTATGGTTAGGCCTAACGTCAGGCCAGCGCGTACACGCGTCGTCGCCCCCCCCCCCCCCCCCCCCCCCCCCCCCCCATCCTTTCCCGCTGCGCCGCCAGCAATTCGGCTGGCTCCTAAGCAACGATGACGCCGTTGTTATGAAGCCACATGACGCGTCGCGGCCAATGGTAATTTAGGTGCCGTTTCGCTGTTACGGACAACGTCGGCTTCACTACATGAGACAGTTTATGCATTCTCATGTTTAAACAAATCTAAAACGTTACTTTGGAACAAAAATCTTTTTTTTTTCTCAGGTTACAGTATATCGTGATTGTGACTGTATCTTGCTGCACGGGCGAGACGCTTGGGCATTTGCGTCGCCGCAGAGAGACGCTCTTCTAGAACTCTCTTGCCTAGCGTGTGCTAACGCAAGCGGTAAATTGCGTTCGTTATTCTAAAACTCCCCAATACCACAATTTCTCGGGAATGGCTTGGGAGGGACGACTTTTGCATCTTTCGAATTCCGTGCGCATCTCGACCGAAATTTTTGCGCACTTTTGTTCCAGTCACTTTCTCGACATATCACAGCGGGAATCGCCTTTCTAGAGCCTTGTACTCTCATCTGCCATAACGTACTTTACTCTTGTCCTTCTGTAGTCAAATGCAAACCGAAAACAGCATGGCGCCTTTTTCGGACACCCGGCCACAAGCACGGTCTCGTTGCCTTCCAGCGTGCACTGGTTGCGCGAGCACGGTGGAAGCTCACGAACCTCCTAAGTGTTATCGAAGCCAAAAAGCTCGCGTTTGAGGCGGGACAACAGCTGAAATGCGTCCCTGCTGTTTTCATCCTGTAAGTGACGACACGTAATATGCAGATAATAAAATTCTAACGCATTACTGCTTTTCTGGTATCCTTGGTAACTTACTCGGCATTACTGAACAATGCGGGGCGCAAGTTTGTCTGCTTCTTTTGCAGGTGGTGTGATGACGTCAGAAAGACGCCGAGGTCCGATTGGCTCCGATTGAGGGATAGTGGGTAGACCTCAAAGCAAGCTGCCTCTAGGTCTACCCACTATCCTTCCAATCAGAGCCAATCAGAGGTAGGCATCGTTCTGACGTCACCACAATCCCTGCAAAAGAAGCAGACAAACTTGCGCTCCGCACAGTATTTCATCGAGACCGATAGAGTTGACAGTTACTTCCTGTTTCTATGCAGTTCCTTCGCTGACTCGCTACGTTAACTTATATCTCCTGTCGGACCACTCACATTGCAAATTGTTTAAGAATATTGGAGATCAGCGCCTTTACATGACGGTTCTGACGAACGGAGTAAGTAGAAAAAATATTCGTCCCGCAGTTTTAAATATAGAACAACAAACAAAAGTGATAGGTAAACTTTAGTCACTGATAATGAATTGCATTTTTTTAATGCCCTGATTGGTCTCATGAACAGCCACCCAGAAACACAAAAACCACGCGTTGATTAAGTTTAGATTTAGATTTTCTGCTTTTTTTAATTTTTGTTTTACGAAGGCGACCAAATTATCGCTCATTTACGCCATTTACGATCTGTCGAAAATAGATACAATATTTCACCTGCTCAAATTTTGGATCATTTTATATTTATGCACTTATGATTTGGTTATCATGTTTCTGCAGTGGCTTGGCCCCTTTTTTCGATATTTTTTTTTTCAGACTCCAAAAAATTGGTTTAGGCTTTTTTTTTTTTTTTTCGATCTAGAGACTTCGCAATATTTGAGAGTCAGTGCACTTGCCCGACGTTTGATTTAGAGAGACTCGATGACTACAGGAGGAATGGGGTTACACAATCGTGCGAAGAACTGACATGTCCCAAGTAAGGGGTGACCAGACGTCCTGTTTTGGCCGGGATAGTCCCGATTTAGAGACGCATTTCTGCCGGCTCGCCGTTTTTTTTTTCTCAATGATCAGACTCACGTCCCGTTTTCGTGGGAACGTGCGCGAATAGTTGCGAAATGAGTTTTAAGCAAATGGAAGAAATCTAAAAGAATACATAATAAATCTAATAAAAATAAACATAATATAAAGATATGTTTCATCCAGATAGCCTAAATTTAGAGCTCATTCTGTGGTTACATTTGTCAATACGCGCTGTTCGCACAGACGTTCGCTCGGGGCAGTTTTTTATGTTACTTTATTTTTTATGTTTAGAGATAAAGAAAGGTGCTTTTAGGCAACTAGACGAAGAACTTCAGGAAAGGGTGAATTTGTAGAGTGAATCGAGTACCAGCAGAGCTCGCATTTTTTGTTTCGGCTGTTATTCGCACGTGTCCTCGTGTTTGTTTCTTTCCGTAGTTGAGAGCAACCTACAGCGGACTGCCGCACGAACTGGGACTCGCTCTGAGGCTCGTTGGCATCTCCTGCTTAAAGGTAAGATATCCTTTTTTTCGCTCCTGCAGCAGCCCGAGTGTGGAGTACACGCGTGACCATAGGCGTATACTACGTTTTCTACTCGTTCGTCGTCATTCGCCGAAGAAGTTAACACCCTGTGTGACCCTTGAGACGTGCCGTTGTGAACACGTCGAGATTTTTACGAAAGCGCAGTGCCGCTGGAAAAATGCAGAACTCGTCGAAAGCAAGTTTCGCCGGTCTCGCGGCGGGATCAAAGCTTCCTTGGCACACCGAAATACTGCGTCTCTGTGCCTTCAAACACACAGACGCAATGCTTCAGCGAGCCAAGGAAGCTTTGATCACGCCGCGAGACCGGCGAAACTTGCTTTCGACGAGTTGTGGTTTTTTCCTGCTGCACTGCGCTTTCGTAAAAATTCCCACATGTTCTCAACGGCAAGTCTCAACGCTTACACAGGGTCTTAAAAATCTTCTTCGGCGAATGAGGACGAACGAGTAGAAAACTTGTCTTCAGCATGCTGCCGCCAGTCTCTGTAACGCAAGCGAAACCGCAAATCCCCTACGAGCAAGATGGCCGTCCCGTGGCTTCACTCGTGGTAGCGGGAAGCGCGATCCAGCAATTGTCATTGAGATCAGTGGCGCGATCGATGGTATCTGTCGATGATCTCCCGGGATAATTCTTGATGACACTACACGTCTGATGCGAGCTCGAGAATCTTAGAAACAGACGAAACCGGTGCCACAAGTATAACTTTAGTGGCGACGGCCATAAGGACGCATTCATGCTGCTCGTACATTAAACAAAAGACACGATGAGATAATTATCTGCGGCCTCAAGCATGTTCTAAGTATCTTTGTTTCATACGAATGTACGCTTTGAACATGTATGCAGACAGTCTTTGTGTGACCAATGTGGCGGGACAGTCATACGTGGAAGAACCACACCACAGACAGTGTCTGGAGGCTGCCCATTGTACGATCTGTTAGCAGTGTTACTTTGGTTTTAAAGTGATACGTCGTCTCCTGCCCTGCCGAGAACGTAACTGTCACGCATCGCGCCTTATTAACTGTCACTTGCTAAGCACTAAGCGTACATGGAAACTCTAAACTCCACAATAAAAATGAAAACGAAAGTAAAAATCTTGACATGGAAAGCATAAACATGTGTTTGCGACGTGTGACATTTTTCAGAAGTCTGAGCAGAAAAAGATATATGAAACCAGCATCAAAAAACGCAAATTGGATGGGAATAGTGCTCTGTGGGGTTTAAAGATTTTCGTAGCGGAAAACCAGGCGTGGTTTGAAAATGCTACGGTCATCGCTATGCTAACGGCGTAAGTATTTGAAAACTAGTTGTCACCGCCGCCGCGGTGGTGACAACTGTTAAGATCTAAACTGAGAACGAGCTGTTTTTGTTACAGGTACTCCTTCCAGGATGAATCTCGAACTGGTGACGTATTACTGATTCCCCTTTTCATACATAGTCTCGAATAGAATGATTTGAACTAAAGTAACTGTACAGGCGAGCTGGTCCAATAGTGACATGGGAAACCAGGAGTGAGGGAAAACGGGCTCGTACTATTTGCCAGAACTTTTACGCCCGACCTCCGGGATCCTGACATCCGACAGTATGACACTCCGGCTTTTGCGACGTAATTTGTTGCCGCTTCTTGTTGGCTTTTCCTCTGATTAACAAAACTTTTGGAAAAATTAAAAGTCTTTAATACAGGAAATTAAAGATTAAAAGTTACACGTGCGGCCAACGCACACTTGCGTGCCGCCTAGTGTCCCCCCGCATATCACTCTCTGCCCAGCGTTGCCTCCTTTCGCTTTCAGATTTTGCTAACATATTCTGTACTTTTTTCGATGCGTGGACGGAATAGGGGGCTAATCACACCAGTTGGAGACGCCTCCTAGGCACTTTAGCACCCCTCTGACAACCTGCCGTCTTCACTTTGTACGGGGTATACACCTCCTGAATAGCAAGGCCTATAGTGCCTAAGATTTAGGGTGACCATATTCCTCAAGGTACAAAACGGGACATCCCAGCGGGAGGCGGGGGGGGGGGGGGGGCTATAAAATATTGAGAGGGGGAAAAACATTTTACTGAGATCATTGCTCTTATATCGAAATGTTACCATATTGCAATACGCCCTAGGGCCAGTCACGCTCACAGTTCAGTTGTACGCACTCATTTCGAAGGTCCTGCTTTGGGTCCTTCGTTGGTGTGGGCGTATTTTACCGACGACTGAAGTTTCCTAAGCAGGATTTTATCCTGCAGGACTCGGTTGTCAAAGTCTGCGCACTTATATGGGGAAAAAAAAGAATCATGTCTTGAAAACGGGACATGATTCTTTATTAGGACAAAAAGACGGGGCGGCAGGAGCGGACCTCAAAAACGGGACTTTCCCGGCCAAAACGGGACGTCTGGTCACCCTACTGAGCTTCTGCGTCAGCTGCTAGATGCCTGCGTGGCGGGACAAAGGTTGAACGCGAGTGCTGCGGCAGCATGCGGCCGGAACTCGTGATCCATCTCCCTGTCTTTTTTTCCGCACATCCTCTTATACGCGAGAGGCACATTTCCTCGGTGTTGGTTTTGGTGGTTTCGGTGTTTCGGTCGACGTTTATGTCGACTCAGGTTAGCGAAGAGCGCAAGCCGAAAAAGAAGGCTCAGGCACCTGCTTCAAAGAGAGGCCCTCTGCCTTGCGGATCCAACAGTTTTTAGAGCGCAGCTCTTAGTCGCCCGTTTCCGGCTTGAGCGGCGTCGGCGTCGCCGTCGGCGTAACCAAGGTCACCTCAAGGTCACGTGACCCCAAGGTCACGTGACCCCGAAGGTTACGTGACACCTCCCAAGGTCACCTCAAGGTCACGTGACCCCTCCCAAGGTAAACCAAGATCACGTGACCCCCCAAGGTCACGTGACACCCTCCAAAGTCACGTGACACCCCCCAAAGTCACGTGACACCCCCCCCCCCCGAGGTCACGTGACCTCCTCCCCCCGAGGTCAGGTGACCCCCCCGGAGCATATTAAAGAATGAAGGGAGGAGGGGGAAGGGTCTGCCCTCCCCTCAGTACCCTTCCCTCCTCCTCCTCAAGAGCTGCGCTCCAATTCGGCGTTACAGGGAGTTGAAAACGGCTTTCACTTTTTTTGTTCAATTTTGTTAATTTCCATTTTCAGTTTGACAGTTGGAGCGAGATAAAGGACCAGGTCATGCCGATTCGGAATGGGCATAAAGAATCCGCCCTAAATTAAACAAGCTAAAAAAAACAAAACAAAACAAAAAAAAAAAAACGTGCAATGCGTTTTGAGGTTAGAGTCGCACGATTAGTTTTCCAGTGTTCATAGCAGCTTCAACCAGCTACCTGCTTTAACTGCATTAAAATTTAGCTGGACCAATCGAAGTCGCAGCCCCCAATTAGTCAAAGTGTTTTTTCGCCAACAAGTGCGAATTCTATAGCGGCGTGCTGAAAACGAGCATTCGCCGGATTTTTCTCGCTCCGTCAGCACCGTTGTTAATTTTATACGATAAGTTTATTTATCAACACCCCGTGCTGAGGACATGGGAATACTCCATATGCTTTTTTAGTAATGCATTCCTAAAGATATATGAACACATAACAAAGCATATATCCCATCATCTGGCAACATATGAACTTCCTTTAAAGGGATACTTCAACGAAATTTGAAATATTCCCGTCGTGTTCAAAAATAGGTTGAATATGATCCACTATATCCGTAAATGACAATCGCACGTTTATATTTTGAGCCTGGTGGCTGTATTTTTCGTTATAAACGGCCCACTCTGGCAAGCGCTCGGAGGAGGCCCAGTGGAGACCACGTGACATCCAACGCAATCGTGACGTAGGTCGTCTCGGGACGAGCATAGCTACGGCGAGGCTGACGTCGAGAGGATGGCCTAGTCGTTCCAGCCACCGAAGCGGCTGCTTTTGTACGAATTTTGAGTGACGGGTTAATCTTCTATAATCTTCTAGGGGGACAATAGCGACTTCTGCGACACACAAAAGGCATTCTCGGGAAGAGGGGAGTTCCTCCTGCCCCTCTTCTCTCGTCGTGGCCGGAGACGAGACAACCTCCGTCAGTAGCTGTCAAGGTTCCTAGACGGGCATTACAAGCGAGGCGTTAGCGACATCCACCAGGTGCTCTTTGCTAATCGTTTAATTCGTTTTAAAATTCCTTTTCGTGACTTTTTTTAACAAGATATTGGTATGTTCGATGTGATGCTGCTCCTTTGAACACATATAGACCATAAAATAAGCGCCGGAATTTCGTTGTAGTATCCCTTTAAATAAGGAGAAACGAAAAAAGAAAAGTTTGGTATTATGTCCCATAACGTGGGGCTTCTTTCTTACGCGCAGTCAGTGGCTGCTTGCGCTTTAAAGGGCAACTCCGCTCAATTCCGAAAAATTTAGGCTTCCATGTGATTCACATTCACAAAGTAATACTCAACAACTCTACGTCTTCGGATTCGCGAAATGTGGAATAATATTTGTGTAATCCTAATTTAAACATCAGCAGATACCGAAACCGACACTTCGGTTGCGTCAGGCAACATTGGTCTCGGGTCGTCACAGTCATGAGCACCTCACGTCGAACCACGTGGTCTTGTGACGTTCGGGAGGGAGTGAGAAACAGGACACGCGACGCGGGCAGGTCCTTTTTTTTTTTTTTTGGACGCGGGCAGGTCGCTTCGCATGGCGTGGACGGTGATGGCCCGGGGGAGAGGGGGAAGGGGAGAAGACGAAAGAGGACAAGGGGAGCGGAGAAACAGTCCGATAAGCGCGCAGGGCAGCGGTGATCACGTGAACGCCCGGTCAGCCAACACCGGGAGGAGAAACTCATGACGTCATCGTTAAATTTCGCTCTGAAAAGTAAAAACAAGCAAAACATGAGAATGAAGTATGCATGCCTCTGACGTAGTGGCTCAACGTTGGCCGCTCCAACTTCGTGGCATTGACTGCGCTGATGATTGCGCCTCGCGCCGCACGCTAGAGTTGGCAGATTTCGGCGACTTGGCTCGCTTGAAGGTTCGCTGGCCAGTTTAATAAATATATAGACGGAATTAGATCGTAATATTTGACATGGGGTCTTCCTATATGATACTGAAGAGGGCTACATAGTTTTCTAACTATCAAAAATGAAGCGGAGTTGCCCTTTAATATCTACCTGTGACCGAAAGTCATATCATTGAACTGCAATACTTCGATTCCTTTCAGGCTACTCTTTCTTTGCTGGATTCTGCAGTAGAGATCAAGTAATACTCATGAGCGATCCACACGCAATGTACCGCATGCAAGAAGAGCTGGCGGAGCACATCTTGAAATTGTAGGGATAAATATTCTGTCCGCACTTGTGATGAAATTATTCTACTTTATTTCACCTTATGATGTACCGGAGAAATTGCTACAAGCGCGAGCTCCTTGCTGTGGGGCGCATCTCGGCGGCACAAGCTCTCGTGCATTAATGGGACGTGGCAACGCTATGATATCGCGCTTCTAGCCTTCGCTGCGGTGCAATTTAAGGTGAAAAAGATACACTCAGTTTTATATATATATATATATATATATATATATATATATATAAATCTAATACGGTTTTGTATATAAAAAAAAAGAAACTTAAATTGTTTTTGCGTGGCCACCAGGATCGCGAATACGAAATTGATGCGCCTACCAGCCACAACAGCGCTCTCCAAATAGCGCTGGAGCCCCTTTTCCCCGTAGTGTTTGGTGTGAGGAGGAATCATGACGTAATATGCGGAGACCTTAACGTTTCCGCGCTTTCCGAAAGCCTTAAACGAGCAGTCCGAATTACTACACGCGTTCCCTTACAAGCCGCACGCGTGAGGCAGCTGAAACTTCTGGGTATGACGTCATACCCAGCGGTTGGTTCTCCGGTTTTTCTCGCCTCTATTGATACGCTTGGGTTAAATGCTGGAGATATTCAAATTCACGGGACAGAAATACGATAGAAGTTACCTCTAATTCTATTTTCATTTTCAAGATTTTTTTTTTAGCTTTTTGTGAAGTCAGAGCGAGGCGAATAGCTGGTTGCAACGCAAACACAAACGCATAGATCAAAACGTATTGTCCCGACGCGTCCTTGGCGCTTGATCGAATCAGTTGGGCGGTAACTAACACGCAAAACGCCCGTGATCTAGCGTTTTCTAGAAACTTGATAGGCCACGTTGTCTTGTAGCGTTGGTAATGCTTTAAGATGAAACGGAGTATAACAATTCACGTGAGCCCGATGCACCTTCGGATCAAAAGTTTTCAGAAGCATTCTGTGTGATCACGTAGGTAAGCTCCCAAAACACAGGGACAACGAAGTAGACAGACCCCTGTCTTTCTACTTGAGTCCCTGTGTTTCTTTGGCGCTTACCTACGTGATCGTGAATCAACTGGCCCAAATAGACCGATCTCACCAGGCAGCTTCGCTACGCCCACGGCATGCATCCTGGGAACTGTAGTCTTTCTGCAAGCGCGACAGCTCCGCTGCGGGTCGGCTCAAGCTGACCCGTTATCTGTCGCCTGCCTCCTGTGAACTACAATTATGGCGGCATCACGCATGCGGGGAATGCTCGGTGAGATCGGTGCGTTTCTGTGTCCTAAAGACGGGATCCCATCTGCTTATATATACACTCTAAAAAAATAGGGTATCACCTTACACCCTTTTGTCCCATATAATACACCCCAAAACTTCATTTCGACGTACAGCGCTCTATCGTCGAACAGACGGCACCAAATTTTACCAGGGGCTTGATAACGGTGCGATATAACTTATTAAATTTCTAAAGTACGTATCAAAGACCAAAGAAAGAAAACACGGAGCTTTTGCAGTACGGCCAAGAAAACTTCGATAATATTTCTTACAGTCAATAATACGGACATCAGCTATCTTAATAAGTTGTACCACAAGGCTATCAAGCCCCTCGTAAACTTTGGGGCCGTCTGTACGATTATGGGGCGTTGTACGTCGAATTGAAGTTTGGGGGTGTATTATATGGGACAAGGGGTGTAATAATACACCTTTTTTTCTGAGAGTGTAGGGTGGTCCAAGCCACCAGGCTCGATCAAAAATGGAGCGTAAAAACCGACGCCTGCACGTAGCCATCTAAACTTTTCGTCAAAGGTGTATTTCAGAGTTATGATTATAGTGCAATTAAATGCAAAGGTGGGAGCGAGCTGGACAAGAACGATGAAAATAATCCCTGGAGAAGGGGAAAAAGAGGAACAAAGGACCAACACAAATATCCAAACACTTGTAGTATACGATTTATAAGTAAAAAATGTGTTTTAAAACATTTCAGGATGTCTGTGGATTTGGAGGAGGGTTTGCTCGAGAAATGCGTTAGAAATAAAACTGACACGCAACATTGCAGTTTGGACAAGCTGAACGCTTCGCTTGCGTAAGTCTCTATTTAGTAATTACATTGCCTAATTGTTTATGCGGGTGGAAAAATTAAACGGCGGTCAATGAAATGTGACTCAATACATTTTCGAAATACCCGGGATGTACAGTTTCCGGCCTGCTTTTTACTATTTCTAAATAAAAAAAATAAGAAAAAGACGAAGTTAACATTTAAACAATTTTCCGCGCTTTCTAGCGACGCAGAGCATAATTTATACAAAGCATGAAACTAGGCCTCGACATTTACCGAAGTAAACTGCACCAATAAAGTTCGAGTGCACTTACGAAGTGCACTCGAACTTTATTGGTGCAGTTATTGGTGCAAAATCGTTTTATGGCGTCCTGTTTCCATCTAAGCCGTTTAAAAAAAAATGTTTTTTTCCTTTGCATGTGTCCTTTAAGCTGAGACTACAAGCCCGACCTTCAGCGCAAGCTCGCTGGCTTCTGCAGTGCTTTGGCTGCGCGTGCCTGCACTTTCACACTTGTGGTAGCAAGAGCAGAAAGCTGGCGCTGAAGGCGGCAAAACCGGTTGTAAACCTTAATTGCTGGATTTTATAATCGATATATGGCACCGAGACGATGGGAAAGTTTTCACGATTATGTACTGGGAAAACACGATGCTTACAGAATGTATTCCCTTTCCCAAAATGCATTCGCATCGGGCCCCCATGCATTTGACCACTACAATGGCCCTAGCCGTTGTCGCACAAATATAATCATCAGCGTAAGGGAACCGCCAACAAGGATACGAATTCGATGGCGAATAAATGCGGCGTGATAAACTGCGTTGGCGATTAAGAGATCTTTTACACATCCCTTTAAACTGTACCTCAGAGAGTGGATATACCTGGTTCGAGTTATCTGCATTGTGGCTTAGTTTGAAATACAACCATTAAAAAATAAAAAAGAAGCTTCTATTGATTTGGACATGCGGTCTGTTCAGTGTACTTACATACGGCACAGACGATAACTTTTGGTTAACCGATTCCCAAGAAGAAGAAAGAAAAATGCGAGCAGGTTCATTGGTGGGTTCTTCGGGAATGCGTTCGCATGACCCCTGGAAATGGAAACGCCACACACATCGCTTTATACAAGAAACGGTAACGCTGATGCCTTCACGTTTTTCTTTTGGCTTTATCTTTTGCATTCTCTATTTTTTGCATGCCGCTTTTTGACTTCGTTACGGGGTCAGTGTTAGCGGTTTCCAAAAGGAGGCGTCTATGGCGTTTCCCCAGGGTTATGCTAACGAATTCCCCAAAAATCTAGCAATGGATCTTCTTGAAATTTTTTCACTCCTTTTTTGTACTTTGCTTGTCAGAGTACGTCGACGCCATTGGGTATACGATCATCCATATCATTCGTGGAAAGAACCAGATCCATACCACTCGCGGAAGGAACCACATTCATATCACTCGTCGAATGAACCGCATCCATCGTTTTGATCAAACACATATCACAGCCCACGCACCGCTACTACGGAAATCCAAAGCGAAGAACAACCGGCGACACCGGAGCGGCAACTGAGCATGCCCGCATTCCACCGCGCCGGACGCAGCACCTCCTAGATAAAAAAGCCAGTGCTGAATGAGATGGCGTCATCAGAGAAGGCCAACGCTGGGCACGGATTGGTCACGACGATTGCGTCAATGTTCGGCTCAAATTTGACTCAAAGCCGACCGCTGACGCAGCACTCCTTTCCAATCTGTGTCAAGCGTTTGCCTTGATGACGCCATCTTATTCAGCACTGCGGCTTCGTTATCTAGCAGGTGTTGCGCGGCGCCTCCTCCTCTCTGGCTCCGCATCTGCAGTAAGCTGTGGGCGTTACTTTGCCAAAAACGGAAGGGCTCGGTTTTACGGAAACCCAGTGGTGTCTGTCAGTTTGTCAGCGCCGGGGAATGAGGGAGAGGTTGAAGCCTGTTCACGTCAGCACAATTCGGACGAATGGGTGTGTCGCACGCGAAAACTGACAAATGAAAGAGAGCGCCGGGTTTTCTTCAAAACAAACGTTCTAATGCTAACACATTAAAACAAAAAGTTGGCAATGCACTTTTGCTAAGTCAGCATCATCGCTTGCTTTTATGTTGGCACTAATTTTTACTTTGTTTCAAAGCCGCATGCCCCAAGACTGCTTTCTACCAAGAGGAGAGGAGGTTCCTCAAGTCACTAGCTTGCCTGGCGACGTCGTCAATTTGTTTAAGCTATGTGAAGCAATGTATCCTCACGAATGGTTTATCGATTATTGTTTCGTAAGTCTGTCTTACCTTTGCTGACCACTTTTAGTTCCATATACGACTGTCATCAGGGGAATGGTTCACATATTTTTTGTACGAATGTCATTGAGTGTTTGCTCGCTTCAAACCGCTTCGAAAAATCTGCGTTCAATCACTGGCGCCATCGAGTGGGTAGCGTTGGAACGCATCAATATGCCTATAACCAGACCACAGTGTAAGATATAAAATTGCGTGACGACCACACGACGCGATGCATTTAGACAGCGGCGACAAGGTCGTACGATGTGTTTTCCCGCCAAATCTAGCGGGGAAACTGACTTGGTGCATAGGTCACGTACCGTCAATTTTTCCGCTAACTTTATCGGGGAGCATGGATTTCTCTGTAGGCCTCCCGTGCCGTCAGGTCACGTGACATCAATTTTCCCACCAAATCTAGCAGGGAAACTGGACCGGTATGTAGGTTGCGTGACATCAAGTTTTCCGCTGTATTTAGAGGGTGACCTGAATTTCTAAACATGATTCGTTTAGAGTCGTAGACGTCAGGTCACGTTACAATACTTTTTCCGCCAAAGTTAGCGAAGGAACTGTTCGTTCGCGCTCAGGCCGTCGCGGAACCCGGGGACGGGCCACTAACAACTGCCGCTGTAATATATATATAGGCGAGGACACAGCACGGCGAACGCTGCGACGCGACCGTCCACATAAAGTCCTCTTGGCGCGTTCGAGTAGCCTTAGAGTTCCTGAATAGGCTCCCTACGGGAGCCAAAGTTGCGCGTCTGTTCTCCACGTGCCGCCGGTCCGCTATTCGCCGAGATCCCAGCACGTGAGGAGCCGGATCAAGTGCCGTGCAGGAAAGTAGACGTTCCACGCGCCCCGGCGTACGTTCCCCTCCTTTTGAGCGCGCCTCGAACGCGCGGCGCTGCTATTCGTCGAATTCAGTCACGTGAGGAGTTGAATCAACATGCCATGCGGGAAAGACGGCGCTACGCGGATGAACGCGCAACATTTAACATCATGTTTGTATTGTTAGAAGACTAATTTAGTGTTGATCTGTCTTGCCTCATTAATAATTCAATTTTGCCCCCCCCCCCCCCCCCCCCCCCGTTCTTGACGGTCATCTTGCATGTCGAAGAATCGCCTTTTTGGAGCGTTGAGGAGGCTGGCGGCAGTGAGCTGAAGTCACGGTTTATACTTGTTCGACACCATTCGCCAAATAATTTTTTTTTAAACTTTGTGTAAACGATAAGATTACCTTTGAGTACACGTAAAAGTTTTTTACGAAAGCGCCGCGACGCAGGAACAAGGCACACCTCGTCGAAAGCAAGTATCGCCGGTTTCGCGGCGTGATCAAAGTTTCCTTAGCACGCCGAAGTGCTGCGCCTCTGTGCCTTCGCACGCTTGGATACCGATCAATGATCGGTGCCGCGGCAGTTTTCAAGGTTGCGTCGCGCGCAGATGTCTTTACTTCATATATCGGCCACGAATTCGTCCAGCTGTTCTGGCGAGTTGCTATCAATAAAAGGGAATAAAAATCAGTGGTTGCTATTAAGCACAATTAACCACGGCTATGTTCCACATCTACTCGAATGGATCACATGGCAGCACAAAGAGAGCAACGCCGTGGAGAAAGGTACGTTTTCGGACACAAAGGTATAAAATGGCGAGTTCGACAATTTCTTCAAACGCGACCATTATGGTCGTGTGCATTCTGCCGCCATCCACGCCGCCGTACCTCCATCCCCTTCTTTCGTCGCCACTGGATCAAGCTCGTTTCTGGGCCGCGAGTACCGGAAATTACAAATGCAGTCATAGTAAAACGCTGCTCCCGAGGCACATACGTCTTCACGCAGACAGCACTCGCGAAACATATACACGGTGTCGATTCTTGATAGAGAGAGAGAGAAAAAACTTTTAATAAACAATTCGCTTGGCTTTTCCGAGGTGAGAGGAGCCCTCATTCCAGGGCCCCTGTAGCTGTCGCTGCGGCACGGGCCCGCGAGACCAAATTACGCTGGTCGTCCGGATCCCAGCTGGACAGCGCAGCTTCCCACTGCTCGGCGTTTGGGTTGGGAACTGGGGGGGCAGCCTGAATCTTAGGGCATGCCCACGTGATGTGATATAGTGAAGCCTTTTCGGTGCACAGGGGACATTTGTTTGTGGGGTATACTGTAGGGTACATGGCATGTAAGAGGCTGAGGTGGGGGAAAGTATTTGTTTGCAACATGCGCCAACCTACAGCGTCCTCCCTCGTTAGAGATTTGTGCGGCGGAGGAAGGGTGCGGCGACTCAATCGGAGATGTTGAAGGATGTCACGATAGGTAAGGGGGATCGGGATGGGGACCAGGGATGGGTCTTCCTGCGGTGGCGGGGCCCGGAGGGTTAAAGCTCGGGCTGACGCGTGTGCGCGTTCGTTCCCGCTCAGGGAATTATGCCCCGGCGTCCATATCAAGGATACTGTAGGGAGTTGTTCAGGGGGGTGATTATACTGCGTTTCACCTTATGTGCGAGCGAAGGCAAAGCTGGAAGCGCCAGCACGAAACCTCCGTGCCTTCAGGCTTTGCTCGAGCGCGCGAGCTGGGCAGAAACGCAAAAAGCGCTGGTCTCGCGCTTCTAGCTTTGGCTTCGCTCGCAGATAGAATGAAACGAAGTATAGTTAAAATTCGATGAGCAAATCTGGAGAGGCGACCGTTGACAAAACTACGGCAAGCCGCCTGCGAGTCAGTAATTATTGAAAGAGATGTGATAGCTGGGGTGGACGTGATAGCGAGCGCTATGGCCGCTTCTTCTGCCTCGAGTGGGAGGGAGGTAGGAACGGTCGCGGTGGTCACTTCTCGCATGTCTTCGTCGATTACGCTGACAGCCATGGCCAGTCGACCCGGGTAACTGGCGGCGTCAGTGTATCTGACGTGGCGGGCATATTGAAGTTTCTTCTGAAGAGTGCGGGCGCGAGCCTGTCGTCTCCCCTGATGGAACTCGGGGTGCATGTTTTTGGGTATTGGGGCAACTGAAATTTTGGTGCGATAAGCAGCAGTGAGGGGAATTGTTTCACTGTGGCCCAGAGTTTGAATTGGGTAGCCCAGACGAGTTAGAACCTGCCTGCCTGCAGGTGTTAGCTTGAGACGTTCGCGTTGACCTGTGAGGTGTGCTTCAATGTGCTCTTCGACGGTATTGTGAATGCCGAGAGACAAGAGACGTGGTGTCGAGGTTCCGGGTGGAAGACTGAGGGCTTGTTTATAAGACCGGCGAATCAGTACTTCGAGTTTTTCTCGTTCCCGAGGTTTGAGGGTCAGATAGGGGACAGAGTAGGTTACACGGCTAATGATGAGTGCTTGGATGAGACGGGTAGCGTCTTCCTCTTTCAGGCCGTGTCGTCTGTTGGCAATTCGTCCCATCATACGAAGGATTTGATTCGTGGTATGCGTAAGACGTTGAAGCGCGTGTGATCCTCCGCCGTCTTGTTGGAGAAAGAGGCCGAGAATCCTAATGCATGTCACTTGCGGAATGACTTGATTCTCGAGAGTGAGAGTAAGCTGTGGCGGATCATAAGGAATGTTCCGGCATTTCTTCTTTACAATGAGCAGCTGCGATTTTTCAGGCGCACATTGAAGACCCCCACCACGTGCATACCGTTGAACCACGTCGGTCGCGCGCTGTAAGGCATCTTGGATCTCCCCGTCAGAGCCGGAGGTGGCCCAGATAGTAATATCATCGGCGTAGAGGGCGTGATAGACACCCTCTATTTCTGCGAGTTGGGCAGGGAGCTTCATCATCGCCACGTTAAACAACATAGGCGACAGAACCGCGCCTTGTGGCGTTCCCCTGTTGGGAGTGGGGAGAGGTTGGGTCCGAAGGTCGCCAATGCCGATCGTGGCGGTGCGGTTTTGTAAAAATGCTTGAATGTAAGCAAAGGTTCGTTGACCACAGTTTAGATCACTGAGATTGGTAAGTATGATGTCGTGACTCACATTGTCAAATGCCCCCTTCAGATCCAGCGTCAGGATGGCTCTAGTGCTGTGAGCGGAGACTTGTCGATTGATATCCTCGTGTAGTTGGAGGAGGATGTCTTGCGTACTGAGGTGCGGACGAAAGCCGAAGATTGTCGGTGGTAGGAGGTTGTTGTTCTCGACGTATGGCTGGAGCCGGTTGAGTATCACGTGCTCGAACAGCTTCCCAATACATGAAGTGAGAGAGATGGGCCTCAGGTTCTCCAATTTGGGTGGTTTGCCGGTCTTGGGGATCAGGATGATATCGGCATGTTTCCACGCTGCCGGTAATGTGCCTTCCTCCCAATGCTGATTAAAGAAATTGGTGAGGGCTTGGATGGAAGGGTCGTCTAGGTTTCGAATGATACGGTTTGTAATCTTGTCCGCACCGGGGGTGGTATTGCGGGTAAGAGCCTGGATGGCTTGATTCACTTCGGCCAAAGTGATGGGATTATCAAGGTCCGCGTTGGGGGCACCACGGTATTCCATGGGCTGAGAGGGCGGATGTTGTTGCCCTATGTACTTGTCCCGCAGAGCGTCGAGAATGTCCTTGCTTGTCCCTGGATATTGATGTAGGAGTTTTGTGATAATATGCCGGGTGGCTGACTTGCTCTTGGTGGGGTCAAGCAGGTGGCGCATCAGGGACCAGGTTTTGGCGGTGCCCAGGGTGCCCTGCAGGCTGTTGCAGAACTGTTGCCAGTTCTGTTGCATGAGGTCCACAGCGTAATCAGCGGCCTCCTCTGTGAGCCTTGCTATCCGAATCTTGAGGGTCCTGTTGTGCTTCTGCCGACGCCATCGCTTGATCAAGCTTCGTCGAGCTTCCCACAGATGGAGTAAGTGGGGGTCAACGGCTTGTCGTTCGTCGTTTAACATGATATCTTTGGCATAAGCGGAGACGTCGTGTTGTAGTGCGCTCACCCATTCGTCGAAGGAAATGATCTCTGAAGTGGAAGTGGTTTCTCTCTGCTTACGAAACTCGTCCCAATTAACGAGTCGTGTCTTTTTGATGTAGGAGTTCTTGCGAATGAGGGGGACCGTAGTGATGAGAATGCAGTGGTCACTTCCGAGCGTTTCCTCGGTGTTGCACCATTCAGCGTCTGCGAGCCTCTTGGTCATTGTCAAGTCGGGGCACGTGTCACGCGACACACTGTTGCCAATCCTGGTAGGGCAGGCAGGGTCTGTGTGTACTGTGAGGCCCTGTTGATGGATGAGCTCCCACAATTTATTGCCTTTCACGGTCGCCTTGCCGTATCCCCAAGCTGGGTGCGCCGCGTTAAAGTCGCCCAGGATGACGACGCCGTTCTGCTTGGCTAGTTTGAAAGTCGCGGCGAACAGGTAGGCAAAATTCTCCTTTCGTCGACTTGGTGGACTGTAGACATTGAGCACGAAAATACTCATCTGACCCCTTTTTGCAGGCAGGATCTCGATAAGGTTATGGTCGATGTTACTGCCATCAATTTGGTGCAGAACAGTGGTGAGTGATTTGGCAGTGAGTGTGGCGACTCTACTATCGGCGGACGTTGTATGACAGTTGTAGCCGGATTGCGATGGGACCGATCCGGTTTCTTGAATTGCTATGACATCAGGGGGGGTTTCGGCATCGCATATGTATTGACGAAGAGAGGCATGTTTTTGTTTGTACATACGACAATTCCATTGCCAAATGGTTAGGTTGTGGGAAGTTTGTTGAGCCTGATTATTCATCATGACCGGGTGTATGAGTAGGAAGGGAGGGGGATTCTAGGTTGGGTACTAGTTTTGCTTTTTTGCGGTTTGCGTGGTCAGTATCTTCAGTGTTAATGAGAGTATGAAGGTGCTGGAGCGCCTGTTTCATCTCTTGCAGCTGTTGTTGGGACTGCTCTTGGGACAGCTGCATTTGCTGCTGGATCTGAATGATTTGCTGTTGCATTTGTTGTTGTGATTGTACGAGTGTTTCTCCTAGTCCTGTTTCTATTTGCGAGGGCATGGGGCCAGTGGGTTCGGGGATTACAGCCACTTCATCGGAAGCTGACACTGGTGAGGTTGTTTTTTTCCCCGGATGTGATTTGATTGCGGGTATGACCTGGGAGGGGTCTGGGGGTGGCGAGGATCTTGAGGGTGTAAGGAGTGTTCGGAGTTGCCTATTCTCCTCTCTAAGTTGCCGACTCTCCTCTTTAAGTTGTTGATTCTCAGCCCTTAGTTCCTTTAACTGGTTTAAAATTTCGGTTAGCTGCTGACTAACATCCGGCGCGCAGGACGAAGAGGAAGTGGTCTGCCTCTTTTGGTTGTTTTGTGGGAATAGCCGCGCTGCCCAGCTCACCCTGTTGTTGTCTGTTGGTTGACAGAGTGCTGCTGGTGCCTTGTCGCATTGTGGGTTGCTTGATCGTGTCCTGGAATTGGACCTTGGTCTTGAGGAAGACCGTTGCCTCGGTCCCGTCCTTTGTGGCCCTCTGGAGCGGGAGCGTGACCGGGAGTTGACGCGAGTGTCCTTTCGTCTTCGGTGATGGTTCGAGACAGATGTTGGTGGGCGGTGAGCCAGCTTTTTAGGGCACTCCTTGGAGCCCGTAGGGTGGGCGCCTGTGCATAGAGCACATCGGGGCGTACATTCGTGGCCTTTCGTTGGGTTGGAAACACCACACATCACGCACTTAACAGTGTCCGGGTTTGGGCACACATCAGCGCGATGACCGATCTCGTGGCATATGTAGCAGGCGTGACGGGTAGGTAGATACCAACTGCATGGAAGTGCTGCGTGCTCGAAGATGACATATTTCGGTAATTGCTTGCCGGTGAAAGTAATAAGAGCTGTCGATGTTTTTCCGATCATTCGGGCTGAAAGAACTTCATAGCCCGGCGAGTAGAGATTGTCGATTAGTTCTTGGCCAGTGGTCTCGGGCGGGATGCCACGCACCACGCCGCGAGCCGAGTCGTCGGGGGCGGCAATATAAGCGGTAACTTCATATTCGTTGTCACCAAAACGCAGGGTTGGAATGTCTCTGATGTGTCGGGCCAGGTCTTCACTTGGGGTGCTTGCGATGGCGATATTTTGTATTCTGTCCATGCGGACTTGGAATGTTGTCGAGTTTGGTCGGTCGCGGGTATGTTGCCGAGTTTTCTCCGCGATGGCGCGAGAGAGGTGGATAGTCTCGAGGTTGGCAAGATTTAAGGCTCCTCGCGGGCGAATAATAATTTTGAAATCGTCTCGAGGGAGCGGAGGTACCCCCCATTCACACTGGAAGCGGATCCGCGTTCGCGAAGCGGTTGCGAAAGCGGTTGTATAAAGATCCAGTGCAATTGCACGCGCATTTGATGTCATCGTGTGCGCGTGCAATTGTACTGAATCCTTATACAACCGCGTTCGCAACCGCTTTGCGAACGCGGATCCGCTTCCAGTGTGAATGAGCCCGTAGTCTTGGTTGTCTAGTTAGGGCCCTCTGCGGCGTCGGTTGAGAGACTGAGATTGTGGCCTCGGTATTTTGTGGCTTGACCTTTTTGGATCTTCGCCTGCGTATTTCTACCCAGTCGTCTCGTTCGGGTTGTTCTTCTTGGAGGGGGATGCCGGTAGCATCGCTTGCCTCCATGGCCGTTGCCATGCTTGGGTTGTGAGCCGGAGGCGGCGTGGGGTGAAGGCACGTGCCTAGCGCACGAGCACCGGGTAAAATGCTGCCTACCTGGTTAGTAGGCTTAGCGTGGCGGCCGTCGCTTGGGAACTTCGAGAAGCGATATTTCCGAGGGAAATTCACTCACGCGCTGGATGATGGTGTGCACTTGTTCCTTGCGACGAACTGCGTTGATTGAGACCAGAATTGTTGTTGGATTATACTTTTTGCCGGTGATTGAGATCTCTGAAAGCGGGAGCCCGTGAATAGTACATCAGCGCCAGTTGGCCCTCGTCTTCTTTTTCCCTCATTCTTGATAGGTATCCGAGCCATGCGAAGACACGTAGACGCAGGACTTCGGGGTGCCAAAGAATCTTTGATCACGTGCGAGACCGGGGAACCTTGCTTTCGACGAGTTGTGCCTTTTTCCAGCGGCGCTGCGCTTTCGTAAGAATTTTTTCCTGTTCTCAAAGGCAAGTCTCACCGTTTGCACACGGTTTTAAAAACACACTTCTTCGGCCAATGACGACGAACGAGTAAAAATCGTGTTTTCAGCTCGCTGCCGTCAGCCTCTGCAACGCTCCAAAAAGGCGTTGTTTCGACATGGAAGATGGCCGTCCGGTGGCCGCACTTGCGGCTGCCGCGACCAAGCGGGATGCGTGATCCAGCAAATTGTCATAGAGATCAGTGGCCACGACATTTCAAGATCCCACCTCGAGCTTATTATTAAGAAAAAACTAGTTTTTTTTTTATTTTTCGGATAATATCGGTTAATAAAGGTTACTGGTAAATAATTTACGGTTACAGTTATGGTTAAGGTTTTCATAAATTTCAAATAACGGTTTCGTTCCGGTTACGGTTAGTGAACACATTTTGTTTTAAACGGCTTTCGGTTTCGGTTACGGTTAAGGTTTTAGTCCCTGATTAAAAGCTCTCTTCACGTGTTCCGTTGTGATTGCCCTAAAACGGGCCGTGTAATGTGACTTCTCGCATGTTTCCCTTTATGTATCAAGGAACACGAGATCACTGGGATGCATCGCTTCTATCAAGTGTACAACTGTGAGTTAACCTGCTGTTCCGAAAAAAACACTCTGCATCAAACATTGTATAAAACTTCAGCAATACAAGGTCTTCGATGCGGCGTCGAAAATAAGGTGAGCGTCCCCTTTCAGAACTCTTCCCCCTTCCTTTTAGACAGAATCGTTTTCTGGCAGTCAAGACTAGAAAAGAGGAGAGACACTAAACCACTTACTACGATAGGCTCTTTGTGGTCATAATTTAACCTACGGGCTTTAAAGGGATACTGAACCGAAATTTGGATTTCGCAAAGTAAGGCTGCAGGAGTGTCGAACCGGACGCTACGAACCCCAAAACATCACTCGTACATCGATATCTCAAACGGATGGCCGTATTTTTGGAAAAGAAGGGCGCGATCAAGCGAGTTCTTTGACGTAACTGTCCCCCGGGAGAATATGAGAATGAGGAGAAGCGGCCTCGCTTCTCTCCTCCTCGCTTCAATCCACCAGCTTGACGGGACGTAGCGAGGAGGAGAGAGAATGGGAATCGTGACGTGCCTTGCCTTGTCGGCCCCGTCGGCCGGGTTCCATCGCGCACTTCTTTTCCAAAAAAATACGGCGATCCGTTAGATATATCGCCGTATGAGTGATATTTTTCGGTTTTGTAGCTTCCTGCCTATCCGCCCGGCCTTGTTTAGTGAGCTCGAAATTTCGGTTCAGTATCCCTTTAAGAATCCTAAAGAAAAGAAAAAGACCCACTAAATTCATGCCTGGCCGATTTCTTTACTACAATTGGTATCACAGATCGAGACACCAGAGGTCGCCGTTGGACGAGGACTGAGGAAAGGCAAAGCCCTGCCCTTCCTCAAGCGACGGCGCCTTTTGGTCTCGGCGATAGTTCCAAGTTATGGCCCGTTCACACTCTAGCGACCTCTTAGAACTGGGTGTCTTGAAACATCTCAAAACGAGGACAGACTGGCGCCATCTATTGGGTAGCAGCATAAACTTGGCGGTTCGGCATATTTTCTATTTCTCTCGCGCATTATCCTTTCTTTCTTGGCTCGAAAAACTTTTGTCAACGTTATAAACGAGCATTTCTTATAGGTATTACGCACATTTGACCTTGGAAATCCCTAAAAAACTTCGCTCTTGTGAAATGCAGTTCCAGGGTCACCGCTTAGATGGCGCCAGAATGCCAGTGTGTTCCCTCGCCCTAAGAAATTTTAAGAGGTTTCAACAGGTCTCGCCTCTCTCGGTCGTACTCGGCTGCAACAGTGTGAACGGGCCTTCAATCAATCTTTGATAACGATTTTAATAAAAAAATTCGCCGCGCATGAATGTTATTTTTTTTTTAGGATGCTTCGACACCATATTCAGGGTGTTTCACGAAAAGTGGATAGATTTGACAAATTCGATATTGCGAGAACAACAGGTCGCAACAAAAAAAAGGCTTGTGGTGTTTTGGTCCTGGGCCAAGGGCCTATTTAAGAAAATTATTAAAGTCCGGTAAAATTAGATCGTTACATATTTTTGGCGTAATTAACTTTTTTTAGCTTAGGCTTAGCTTAAGGCCTTGGTGAACACATTTTTTTAGCTTAAGGCTTAGCTTAAGGCCTTGGTTTAGCTTAGCTTAAGGCCTTGGTTTCAATTAGAACCTTGCTGAGCATCATGGAAAAACATTAAATCAATAAAGCGCAGAACAATCGAAGGCACGCGCGGCATTTTACGACTTTCTAAAAAACCGCACAACTTCAACGGGTTTTTGAAGTTTCGGTTTGCAATCGGAGCGCTTCGCGGCCCGGCAGAAACGCGCCCGTGGAGAAACATTGCATCCAGCCTCCGTTGCGTTGCGCGAGAAGAGCGCAGCAGAGGCAGCAGAACTTTTCTTCAACCGCAAAGCAAAAACGAATGCATGGCTGTGAGCCAGCCACCGTTTCTGACGCCCGTTATGCGTATACGGATCGAAATTCTTTCTAGAACAGTAAAGCAAACAGGGTCACTGGACACATCTGTATATCAAAAAGCAGTCCAACTGTATGTATGTAGTGTAGAACAAGGCTGGCCAAGACTGCGAGATTTGTTTTTCATTCTAGAACTCTTTTCGTCTTTGGAACACAGGAGGGGAAGTACGCTTACCAGGAAGCCGCGAGCCACACTAGAGCGTGCCAAGAGCCGGCTGGCAAGCCGCACTTGCCTCGAGACCACGGTGCTCGAGACCCAGATTGAAATTACGAGAAACGTGCTCTTGTTTATCTTAGGGTGCCTCAATGTCCTTCTGTTTAGAGTGATGCCACCCTTTATAGTACCCGATGACGACAGCACGCGCTCATAGGTAAAATACAAAGAAATCGACGAAAACGAAACGTGGCCATAGGTACACCATAGCAGAGTCAGAGCCATAAACGCGTGTATGGACACGCTCTTTCAGGCGCTTCTGAACAAAAAGTTAAAATAAAAGTGTGGGGCAAAATGGCCAGATGTCTCCACCCTCAGCAAAGCGCACATGAAGGCACCCTAGTTTATCCATGGTCCTCTATGACGCTCGTGGTGATTCCCTCTGTCCACAATGCGGCAGGAGACAAGGCCTCCACACTCACGGCAAAGAGCACGGCCAAGGGTACAGAGCACGAGCTCTTAGCAGTTGATCCCAGTGCGCGAGCGCTGCATTGACGCCTCCCATGGCTTAGGCCTCGCGTGCGTTGCATTCGCTTTGCTCCAAGTGTAAAACAAAGTGTAGTTCTGCCTTTAACCACGTGAACCGCGTCGACCGGATCTCGAGGCGAGTACTTAAGATTCGTAAAACAGTGTGTTTGATTTTAATGTGAACACATTTTAAAAGGAGAAGGTGAGAGTTAGATCGGTTCCGTCTCCCTCATTATATTTATCAGGCTGGGGGGTTCATTATGTGACGGGATAATCGTCGTTAAAAGTTGGATAATTAACTGAAATCTGTTCATTACAAATTTAAATTATTTGGTTTTAGGGGCCATGCTGTAAGTGCAGTATAGGTGGCAATTACAATCGGAGGCCGGATCATTAAAAAAAAATATGGTGAGAAGGTAATGGTTTACGAGATATTAGGGACTTTTAGCAAACCGTCACCGTGTTCCGCTTACCGCACTACCGGAGCCTTTTCTCCAGCCGATTTAGAAATGGCGCAAGAAAACAAAAAAAAGAAAAAAAGATTAGGCGCCGCAGTCTCTACTTACAGTGACGCTTAGAGAGGGGCGTTGTTGTTTCAGACACAGCTTCACTTGTGTCGTCAGCGCAGTCCGCAAGGAGACGCTGTCGACATTGTGACGACATGTTTGAAACGACTACGTCAGTATTCTAACCGCCATTGTGGGCAGGGCTTGCGGCACTCTTTTAGAGCTCAATTTTTAAATCGAGCGAAAAAACGCAAAATTTTGATCGATTAATATCTTAAAAACCAGCTTTTCACAATTTTTTTTTTCAACTGGTTTGGCCTCGAATAGTAATTGCCGTCAATACTGCAACTGCAATGTGACCCCTTAAACCAATATTTGAGAAGTCCATTAACACATTTCAGTTAATTAATGATGACGATTATCCCCTCATCTATGGCGAAGACAGCACACCTCTAGCTTTTACCCCCTTTAAGAAGAAATTTTGTTCCAATTAAAATCAAGCACCATGCCTGTATAGTAAATTGTTTAATTAAAAAGACCATCTTAATGTCTCGCGCGTGAGTCCATAAACTATTTGGGGACTCTCAAAATATTTTGGGAGCTCAACGTATCCACTCATACCGTCGTCAAGGCCTCCGCTGTTGTTTTCAGTCCTCAGCACCCTGAAAACAAGGAAGGGGAGGGGACGACAGCTACGAGGAGAGAAGGAATCCGTTCTTTTTGCACGGTTGATGCCCTCGCGGAAAACGAACACGCGCTCCGCAACGTTTTCATCTCTTGGGAAGTCGACAAGCTCTTTTTGCCGTGCTCACCAGAAAGCGCGTCCTGTTTGTGCAGCCCTTAACTCGTGCTACTGTATTTGCAGTTTTGCGTCAACGGCGTTTGTTATAACCGTGAAGATTGGATCCACGAGCACCTTCCCAATGGTTCCCTCGACATCCACCCGTATGTTCCGCCCGAGAACCCGTTTTAAATGGACTCAACGTACGCAATAAAATGGCGATGGAAGAACCCTCGAACGCTTCTGGGTCTTTATATTCCTAAACATGAACAACACATAGAGAGCAAAGCACTGATCTCTACGACGAGTTTTCTGAATCTTGCCTTTCCGCTCCACGATTGCGGACACGGGAAATTTTCGATCGGCCATCGCCTTGTTGGGGAGCCGGGCTATACAAAACGCGGGGCATTCTTTGTGCTCAATCACATTTTCTTTTCTTTTATCCGTGAGGATTCGTCATTGAATCTGCGCAAAGCTGAGCCGCTCTGCTCGTAGATATACATACAAAAGAGACACTGTCCGCTGAAAGCATATGGACCAAACTCTGCGGGCAGGCCTAAAGCGCGGCTTAAAGGGACATTGAAATAAAGAAGGAACAAATTAATACAGTAGATGAGAAACATTCTTTATTTAATTTTCTTTTCACACGCAAGAAAAACAACATTGTTTTTGCTGCAATATTTACGTTGTTAGATGCATTTTAGGTGGAGGTATAGCCCTGCTCTAGTGCGCATAACGAAAGGTCCTTAGCTAAGCGCCGTTTCTCGGCTCTCATTGGTTGAAGGGACGATTGACGTGTGAAATGTTTTGTGTAAAATTACTCCTCCGTGCCGTCATAGTATTGTTACCGACAATATATATATATATATATATATATATATATATATATATATATATATATATATATATATATTGCCGCGCGCAGGGTCACGGACTTGTAGAAAGTTCTCGTTTACTCTTGCTGCGGACATAACTATCGTTCATCCCTGTTTTTGTTGTTCTAGAAAGTGCTTGTTCATTCTCGCCCCGAGCGCGCTACGCTCGAACCTTCTCCGCCGAATCTTCGAGATACTGACTCACTCTAGATAAGAGGCCGCCCGCGACCTTGTCGAGTGAGTCTCGCCCCAGCGCTCGATTCTGCTGACACGCCGACTTCGACGCCCGCGACGCTCTGCTTTCTTCTGTTTCCTTCTTTATTTTTGGCACAAGTTCGCCACATTAAACGTTTATTTATTTCTGTTTATTTCTTGTTTATTGGTCACGACTCACCACCCGTGACAATATATATATATAAATAAACGAACATATGCAGATGAATGAACCGTACTTAATCCAATGAATCAAAGGATCAAAGTTTTTCAGGAACCCCCCCTAAAGCCAAAATAACGGCGGAGCCAGCACCGGGTGTCTTGGAACCTTTTAATATATCTTACGACGAGAGTTCCTGTATAGGCTTCCTACGGGAGCCAGACTTGCGTGTCTGTTTTCCACGTGCCGCCGCGTCGCTATTCGCCGAGATCCGATCACGTAAGGATCCGGATCAAATGCCGTGCAGGAAAGTAGACGCGTTGCACGCACCCCGACAATATGTTCCCCTGCTTTTGAGCGCGCCGCGCGCCTCCAACGCGTGGCGCCGCTATTTGCCGAATTCAGTCACGTGAGCAGCAGGATCAACATGCTGTGCTGGAAAGACGGCGCTACGGGGATGAACGCGCAACTCTGGTTCGCGTAGGGAGCCTATACAGGAACTCTAGTGCGTCCTACTCGTATGCGTTTGACCCTCGAACAGCACAGCCCAGCCCAAGTAGATGATGTAGCCAATGACATTCTTGAACTTTTCTAGGTCTACACATGTAGACATGTGAACATCAAGAAGACTGTTTGTGCATATCGTGTCATGAAAATGTGATAGCTGATGATTTATTTGCTTCGAAACCAGTGGGTGTGTGCTATTCTATTCAATGTAACCTCGTTATGAAAATAACAACAAGCTTTTTTTTTACCACATTTAATATCTAGCTTTTTTTACTCCAAATCTAGCCGTTTTCGGGCATATGTCTAGCGGGAATTTCATAAAGGAGTTGGCAACACTGAGCATTTCTGTCTCGTCGTTTACCTGCAAGTGAACGGCCCAGCGTGCTTCGTTTTTGTTGTTGTGCTCGACTTGTTTCGTGGTTGGGTGCCACAACCACCGGGCAGCACATGCGAGCAAAGACATGACGTTCCGCACTTTTCCGCGAGACGTGCAGTGACCAGCAAAATGAATCGTCGCCGTGTGTAGGGACTGGGTTCCCGTTAAGATCGAGATCCCGCTTATGCGGCAATCATCTCACAGGAGAGAGCTACAAGCTGAGTTCAGCGGACAGAAGGCTCGTAAGCTGAGGTGTGATGCTGTGCCAACGATATTAAACTACGTCCCTCGCCCAGATCGGATCGATCAATTTGTTTACGCAGCAAAACCGAAATCAACAGCTAGACCACCTGGAAACAATACCAGAAGTTGTATTCAGCACGCGTGCAGCCAAATTCTGTTTGACCCTCATGTGCCAATAGAGCGTGGCTACGATTCACCAAGCTCGTCCAAGTCAAGTGATGCCATGCATTTGAACGATTCGCCGGTTGCCTTCGACCCGCGGTCATCGCCTCTGAGGGAAAGACCCGCAGCCTCATCACCGATCCAGTGGAACCGCCGATATGTGTACCCAGATACTGCTTCGTGTACCTAGTTGCCGCTTGAGAGGCGAAATCTGCATACCTTGCTTTGCAAGCTCCCCTGATTCGATCGGCGGCCGTCGCAATTGTGTTTGCGCGAAACGGCATACGTTTGCTGGAAGCTTAATGCTGTTTTCGAGTAATATCCCGCTAAAAGGCGTGACTTTTTTTGCACACCCTTGGGAACTGCAATAAAAGAACCTTATTTCAGTAGGGTACAGCCTAGGACAGTGGTTCTCATTCATCGATGTTTCGCGGACCCCTTGTGGATCGGCGGAGATGATGGAGGACCCCGTTCGTGGTGAGAGTTATATCCATTTAATATATGGATATAACTAAGGGCTAGTGTGAAGTAGGCCTCTCTTATTGACGTTCACACGAAATAACTCGCCCGAAAACTGAAACATTTCTTTTCGACCTGAAAAAAATAGAACTTTTATTGCCGGGCTTGACTGATGAGGCCGCGCTTCGCGGACCCCCATTTGAGAACCGCCTGCCTAGGAGACTATATAATTTGAAACAAAATACGAGACATCCATCGACCAACGCTTGTTATCCCGACCATCCGACAAACCTTTGCGTTTTGTGACGTCACGCAGCAGCTACGGATGTCAGCCATTGACACTGGCGAAATTCGGGGTGCAGTTTCGTACATAGGCTCATGAGAGGTTTAGTCAATAACGGGAGATCATATATCAAAATAAAAATGTCATTTGTGTACATGAAGGCTCCCTCTACGTAACGAGCGCAAAAACTTAAGTACTTACGGTTTCGACCGGACAATCCCTTTAAAGCATAACGTCGGCCTAACGTATACGGTTTAACATGAGCCCAGCGCATACCCGCGTCCCCCCTCGCGTCAAACAGCTGCGCGTACCGGTGGACGACGTTAGACCTCAAAGCCTAACGATACGCCTATACACCAACTCATGTTTACAAACGAACCGGAGCGCCCTTAGCGGACGCCACCGGCGCCGCGCATGCGCGATGGGGGTGTGGGCAAGAAGCTCGTCGGTGTGAGCCCCCCTGCCCTTTTTCGCGTTCGAATCGTTAATTCTACGTCTTCCTGGCGATGTCTGACTATCTTGAGCGGCGTCAGCGAAATTACCGACGCTCGTTACACCGCAAAACTTCGCGTGAATAATGTGACATGTGGCGATTCATTCCGCGTGGACGCCGCAGTATGTATTTTTTTTTTTTTTTTTTATTTTACCTTTAGGGCACATGGCATTACAGAGGGGAGGGAGAACAATAGTAAGCATAATAAACAATTGGAACAAAATATACAATACCTAAAGAACAGGGAACATGAAATTGGCAATAGATGTGCAAAAAAGTGCATGGTCATTAATTGATGTGAGCGATGCAGGTAAGCGATTCCAGTCTTTGGAAGTCCTGGGAATAAAAGAGTCACAATAAACGTTAAAGTGGCAAAATGGGACACCGACTTTGTGACGATGATCAAGGCGTGCTGAAACAAAGTAGGGGGGGGGATGATTAGTTGTGATTTAAGGTGAGGAATAGGGTGATAGATTTTATGAAAAAGTCAAATACGAGAGACTGTGCGACGATGTGCGAGGCTTGGGAGTAACAAATTATCTTTCATTGATGTAACGCTTGCGGTGCGGTTATAATTGGCCATTATGAAACGTGCAGCTCTGTTCTGAATACCTTTAAGTGAATCAATGAGGTAAAGGGTAGAGGGATCCCAGATGGAAGCTGCATAGCTGGGACCTAACTAGTGTTTTATAAAGGAATAGTTCGAGTGTTTATAAAGGAATAGAAAGGAACGCTAAGGCCTGCTTTGCATGTTGAGATTTCGCTCGCAATTTTCAATCGCGACTCCACTCGGTCTGCAAAAGCGTGAACCGTAGCTGAGATAGTCGACGTTTGATACTGAAAATCGCAAGCAGAATCGGATTAAGTGAATTATGGATAACAAGTCGGTGATGGTCACTGGAAACAATGATCAACATCGTTGTGTATCTACTGTTTACATCGAGCCGGCTTACCAACTTTCAAATTTAAGTCTTTGAGGCCTGCACTTACTTCTTATCGCAAGTACCGAGCCAACATTTGGTTTACGGGCCGGCGTCCTCTAAGAGAGCAGACGAAAAGCAGAAACGTTTGAAAGAGGAGACGACAGCTCGAAAGATCAGGCCGCCGTTTGAACTTGAAGATGCACTGAACGTAGTCCGCAGGTGGTCCGCACAACTTGACGGTTTTCTGGCGTTCATGTTGGAACAAAACAAATAAGTCTGATGACCTCAAGTATCCGCGAATTCAACCCAAAGTGCTGCCCGCCCAAGCAATCGTTGTCCGACGGCGTCTGCTTTTCCCTTTTCACGGCACATATCCAGATTCTCGGACGAATCACATAAAAATTGAGGCTTCAAACCTTTCACGACACTTTTGGTATACGGCCACAGTCGCGGCGTTTTGACGAGAAGGCAGGTTTTTGTCTGGTTCCTTTCAAAACAACGCATGGAATACATGTCTGGCATGGGGGCTTCTGCCCACAGCCCCCGACCGGAAGTGCGACCAACGCGCCACCACCGCGCCGTGACGTCACAGAGATGAGTTCGTGTATAGTTAGGCCTAACGTAAAGCCAGCGCGTACACGCGTCGCCCCCCCCCCCCCCCCCTCCCCCTTTCCCCTTTTCCGCTGCGCCGCCAGCAATTCGATTGACTCCTTAGCATAGATGACGCCGTTGTTATGAAGCCGCATGACGCGTCGCGGCTAATGGTAATTTAGGTGCCGTTCCGCATGGTACAGACAACGTCGGCTTCACTCCATGTCCATGGGACAGTTCATGCATTCTCATGTTTAAACAAATCTAAAATGTTACTCTGGACAAAAAATCTCTTTGTTTTCTCAGGTTACAGCATTTCGTGATTGTGACTGTATCTTGCTGCATGGGCGAGACGCTTGGACATTTACGTCGCGGCAGAGAAACGCTATTCTAAAACTCTCTTGCGTAGCGTGCGCTAACGCAAGCGCTAAATGTAGCGCTAGCGTGCGCCAAAATTGCTTTCGTTATTCTCAAACTCCCTAATGACATCGTCTCTCGAGAACGGCTTGGGAGGGACGACTTTTGCAGATCTTTTGAATTCCGTGCGTATTTCGAACGGAAGTTTTGCGCACTTCTGTTCCAGTCACTTTCTCGACATATATCACAGCGGGAATCGCCTTTCCAGAGCTTTGTACTCTCATCTGCCATAAAGTACTTTACTCTTGTCCTTCTGTAGTCAATTGCAAAACGAGAACGGCATGGCGTCTTTTTGTAATACCCGGCCTTCTGCACGCTCTCGTTGCCTTCCACCGTGCGCTGGTTGCGCGAGCACGGTGGAAGCTCACGAGCCTCCTAAGTGTTATCGAAGCCAAGAAGCTCGCGTTCGAGGCGGGACAACAGCTGAAATGCGTCCCTGCCGTTTTCATCCTTTAAAGGGGGATAATGAACCAAATAATTTAGTGTACATAATAAGTGGCGCACGTTCTTTCCACGAGCCAGCAGCAGCCGGTGTGCGCGAGCATGCGCAACGAAAATGACGCCGAAGACCTTTAAGAGGACAGTGAAATGCATGGGCTTCGGGCCAAAGCAGAATAAAGACAGGTTTTCATCTCTACAAGTGCAAAGCTACGTGCTTGTTAGACCGCTTAATCGCTTACCTTTGGCACCAGACACCAGTTGTAGATGAAAAACTTCTCTTTATTCTCCTTTGGCCCGAAGCCCATACATTTCACTGTCCTCTTAACCGCGAATGGAGATCTCTGACGTCATTTTTGTTGCGTGTGCTCGCGCACACCGGCGGCTGCTGGCTCGTGGAAAGAGCGTGCGCCACTTATTATGGACACTAAATTCCTTGGTTCAGTATCCCTTTAAAGCAGTACTCACACAGGGAAATCCCATGAGATATTTCCCCGGAGCTCGCATATCACGTGACGTGATGCGTTTGTGATGTGGCACGTTGACGCCAGCTCCGCGGTGGAGGGCGGAGGGAATGCACGGGGAGTACATGATGATGATGACAACATTTAATTTGCCCATAGATGGGGTCAGGGAAGGGGGAGTGTTGAGAGAGCCTCCCCCTCTCCCCCCTCAGTCGGCGGCCAGGAGTTCTTGTTCCTTGGCGGCGGCCTCGGCCATCTGGACCAGACGGACCTGTTCACCCGGGTCCGAGCTGAGCAGCACGGTCTCCCACTGCTCGGAGGTTCTAATGTTTAGCATTAAAGTTTGAGCTCTGTTTCTGTTGTTTCTATGTTTTTTAAAGGGGCAGGCCCAGACCATATGTTGCAGGTCGGCCCTGTCCCCGCAATGCTTACATGCGCTGGAGTAAAGCCCCGGATAGCAGTGACTGTACGCCACGGGGTTTGGAAATGTATTAGTTTGAAGAAGGCGCCACGCCACTGCCTGCCATTTGGACAGAGTCCTGTCTGCTGCGGGGTATTTAGCCCTTCCCAGCCTGTAGTGGTTAATCACGTCCCGATAGGCAACCAGCCTGTCTCTGTCCGACCGGCGGAACGAGTGTGCGTCAAAGATGTTGGTGACGTCGGCCCGGTCGGTTAAGCCTCGAGCCGCGTCGTGCGCCTTCTCATTCCCCGGGAGGCCAGAGTGAGCTGGCGCCCACACGATGTGAACTCCCCTAACTCGATCTCCGTGGAAACCGGTCCGTAGAATTTTGAGTGCCTCGGACGATATGCGTCCCCTCGTGTAATTTAAAATTGCCGGCTTGGAGTCGCTTACTATGAATTTGATCCGGGAGGACGAGGTCATTGCCAGTGCAATGGCTGCCTCCTCCCCAACCTCGGATGAAGTCGTGAAGACCGTGCCAGAATTAATTAACTTGCCCTCTCGATCAACTACCGATGTGGCCATGGCGTCGCGACTACTGTAATCTGCGGCGTCCACGTAAACCACGTCCTCGAGGTGTGCGAACCTTTTATCTAGTGCTTGTGCTCTGGCCTGCCTGCGTTCCGTATTGTGTTCGGGGTGCATGTTTCTTGGTAATGGTGGGATATGTATATGCCCCCTGATATCGGGTGGAATGTCGTGTTTTTCCCCGAGTCTTCCTTCGTAGTTGATATGTAGCGTCTGGAGGATGTGTCTGCCAGTCGGACTCTTGGTGAGCCTTTCCATCTGCGCTATCCTCTGTGCTTCTACTAGCTCGTCTAGCGTGTTGTGCAATCCTAGTGCTTCAAAGCGCTCGTTGGAGGCCGTGATTGGTATGCCGATTGCCTGCTTGTAAGCCCTTTTTATTAAAGCGTTGATTTTATTGCGCTCATCTGCCTTGAGGTCAAGGAAGGGAGCGACGTAGGTTACTCGACTCAGGACGAATGCCTGGACCAGCCTGATTAAGTTGCCCTCCTTCATTCCGTGATGCCTATTGGCTATCCGCGAAATGAGGCGGGTGGTTTGACACACACTTTTTTCGAGTGTTCGGATTGTCTCGATGTTGTGGCCGTTCTCCTGAATTTTCAAGCCTAAGACCCTAATGCTGTGTACTACCGGGATGGGCAGCCCCCCGCAAGCGTATAGATGAATTCGTGGTTTTTCGGTGGTTGCTTCCTTTTTCTGCCCTCTCCGGGTTGGCCGATAAAGGAGCAGCTCCGATTTTTGTGGGGAGCAGCTTAAGCCTTTCGGTTCCACGTACCCTTCCACCGCGTTTATTGCCTGCTGTAGTGTGTCCTGCACGTGCCCGTCGCTGCCGCCAGCCACCCAGAGTGTGACGTCGTCAGTATACAGGCTGTGATTTAGGCCGTGTATTTTCTCTAAGAGGCTGGGTAGGCCGATCATAGCGACGTTGAAGAGGAAAGGCGAGAGGACAGAGCCTTGCGGCGTGCCTCTGCTCCCCAACTCCAGCTCGCCAGACTCAACCCCCCCTACTGTCAGGGTGACCGTCCTGTCAGATAAAAAATCCCTGATGTAGTCGTAGGTCCTTTGACCTACCTCCAACTGTTCTAAGTTCTCTAGAATTGCTGCGTGTTTTACATTATCAAACGCCTTTGTGAGGTCGAGCCCCACAATGGCCCTGGTGTCTAGCGGGGAACATTCCTCCCCATCTATAATTTGATGTTGGAGCCTCAGCATCACGTCTTGAGTCGAGAGCCTGGGCCGAAAACCTATCATGGTATGGGGAAAGAGTCCCTTCTCATCCATATACTTGTTTAGTCTCGGGGAGTACAATTATAAACAATACCTGTTTGGCGGCGAGTCAATTTTTTTTTTCACGGTATTTTGTCGGGAACCACTTTGGGGTCAAGATTAGAAACCGCAAGCTTCGAACTGCTAACGCTGGCTGTGCAAAACCTGGACAGTGTAAAACAACGATGCTGAGAAGGGAGTTGTGTTTTGATCGCCTATCATGACGTCACACATATTCCTCCGCCGATTTCTGCCCCATGCGAGTACTGCTTTGCGCACCGTGTCTGCTATACTGAAGCGAGCTGTGCCTGTGCTGCCCTTGTGGGCTATTGCGCTTTCGGAGATAGTTGAAAGCAAACATTGATATGAAAACAGATTTTGTTAGCTTCAATGAAACACTCTTTTTTCTTTTTTTTTCTTTGAAAATGTTTTTTTCGAGTAAAGTTTCTGTGTTGTGGGCATGTTTTTACAGCCGGAAGTTAGTCTGCCCCAATGGGCGTCTGGTGTCTCAGCTGTACAGTGTGTCTCAAATAGTGGAAAGGCTCTTTCAATCAACCGCAAAAATCGGTTTTCTACCCTATCGCGCTAAGATTTTGTGCAGCGTTGCCCGCAGGTGGTGCATTTTTTCTCTAAAATTGACGAAGAGCGTACTTACTTCAGGAAAAAGTAAAAAAAAGAAAGAAGGCTTAACTTCTATGTAAACACAGCGAAGCCATCGGTCTTCAAACAGTAGGGTGCCCTGTTCGAAGACCGGTGGCTTCGCTACGTTTCCATAAAAGCTTAGCTTTTCTTTTTACTTTTTTTTTTTTTTTGCAAATTTATTGAGGAAATTTGCCACCTGTGGGTAACGCTGCACAATATTGGAGCGTGATAGGTTAAAAAACCGATTTTTGCGGTTGATTTAAAAAGCCTAGCCGCTATTTGAGGCACCCTGTAGATGAGCAATTTAGCCAGTGCAGTACAAGCGCTAGCCTGCGCTCTTTAACGTGCACAACGCAGAAGTGATATACGGCTGCACGCCAGTACGATGCACATCCAGATAGAAACTGGCAGGGGTGGGGATTGATTCCTGGGCTGAGGTGAGTTTCATAAACTCACCCAAGTGTAAACGTACCCTTATCGTTTGCAGCGCTCGCGAGACGTGATCGTGAAAGCGGCGTTCTAGCGTTCCATCATGCACGAGCTACGGTCCAATACAAGCGTTTCTCAGCGTTTTACGATGTACGCTAAAAAGAGACCGGAAGGACTAAACAATCAACAAAATAAGTCTGCACCCTTTACACTTTTCTGTTGATTTCTTAGCTTGAGATTTACGAGCAAGGTGGATGACCGTAAATTTACGCACAATTAAAACGTGACCTAAAAATAATCGCTTTATGAGGACAGGTGCGCTGCAAAACTTTAGGGCTACTTGCCTTTCGAAGCGAAATGACTGGAACATACCTGGACAAATTTATGAACGCCCTATTGCTACCTGCCAAACGGCTAGTAAATTTTTGAAAGGGTAAAAACAGCGCAAAAACGACACAGACAGAGAAGATGTACACACACAGAGCGCTGACTTTGAACTGTTCATTTCAAACAGAGCGCTGACTTTCAACTGTTTAATATCGTAAAAGCTTACCTCTGTATCTTTTCGGCATACCGAGAGCAAGTCCTCCTCTTCTTGCTCAGGGGTTGAGGTGACGTCAGAACGACACCGTGCTCTGATTGGTTCCGATCGGAAGGACAGTGGGTAGACTGCTGTGCTATATATATGCCTTGAGGTCTACCCGCTATTTTTTTTTTTTTTCAGTCAGTTATTAGACTTTTTGCTATATCCCCCAAACGCCCTGACCGGCACTCGAGGAATCGTGGGAACGGTGTTCCTTCAGCCCCCGAGTAATCGGTAATTTTGATAAATTTTATGGTTACACAGTCTCGAGTGTAATTTTAGAGTCGCACCAGACAAGCGTCGTATAGAGCTCAAGAACTTGTCACATCACTTTTAAAAATTCTCTTCAATGTCAGAATTTTCGATACTGTGCATGCTGTCCACCCTTCAACCTGGCCTGAGCTGAAGAAATGTCTTACAATATTATAATTCTCGTGATTGTTGTTTTAGCAGGAATTGCTTAAAAAGCAATGAATTCCCAATAACCAAAACCAGGATTTAGCTCGGATTCAGCGGGGCTGTTTATAGCATTTTTAGCGCTTCTGACTTAAGCGTCTTTGAAGCAGTACAAAAATGATAATAATGTCAAAGATTTCGGCAGCTCAGCCAGGTTGAAGGGTGGGCAGTATGCACAGTATCGAAAATTCTGACATTGACGAAAATTGGTAAAAGTGATATTATAGGTCCTTGGGCTCTATACGAGGCTTGTTCAGAGTGACTCCGAATTGCACTCAGAACTCTGTAACCATGCCATAGGTCGAAATCACCGATCACTAGGGAGCTGAAGGAACACCGTTCCCATGATTCCTCGAGTGCTGGCCGGAGCGCTTGGGGGATTTAGTAAATGGCCTATAAAAGCTCGACATTCTGACCTGTGCAAGAAGCAGGCGAACTTTCACTCCGCATTTGAACCATGGTCGCAATTACGACGGTTGCACAATTTACAGAGCAGCGAAGCCGTTTTTGCGGAAACGAACATCTTTATTCTGCATCAACAAGCGCAAACAAATCGATCAAGCCGAATCAAGCAAAATGGTTTGCATGGGACATTATGGGCAGTCCCGCTATAAAGCACCTGCACACCGCCTCCGAGGGCGCCTATACTTAGGACAGTTGTTTCCTGCAAATCAGGTCGGTTAAAGAGAACTTCCCCTAAACACCTTGCAATCATAAAACCAGACAAGCTGAACGAGCTGCGCGACTTGAGCACGCCGCAAACATCGGCGGCCAGATTTGTTATCCTTTTAAGCCAAAGCGGAAAAAGCAGTATCGGGATATTTTTAGAAAACAATAATGACTCTTTCTAGATTATTTGTAAAAAAACGACGACGACGAAGAGTCCGGTAGGACCATTGTCTACATTGCTCAAAAGGTAAATGACAATTTTATATATATATCTGTCACCGAATCTTTTGCAACCCCTCGTTCTTCAACGAGGGGCAGCTGTCCTCGGCTCTTGAAGCAGTGACCCGTCTCCGAGCAACGGGGATTAAGGAAAATGAGCCATCCAAACGCACCGCCACAAGCATGCAGCGCAGTCCAATCAGCCGAAGCATCCAACATCTCTGAGTGCTCCCCTGATAACGTCATGGAGGAGTCTGATGACGAAGGTGGATGGATCACCAAAGTAGCAAAGAAACGACGCCACGGATCCAATTCGATTGAGGCGACGATCATCACTCAGCCTACTCACAACCTTGTGGTCATTGTCAAACCTACTAATCCGACCACGATCATCACTAACATGAATCCTCTGGCTCTGAAACAGATGCTAGAAAACCTGGCACCAGACGGAGTAATCCAAATTCGACCAAATTATCGCCTTAACCTATTGGCCATAGATGCAAGAAATATAGAATCAACGAAGTCCCTTCTTCAGCTGAAGAAGCTTGGCACAATTCAAGTTCAGACGTATGAGCCAGCACCCCCATCTTCCAATGTTGGCGTTATTCGCAGCATATCAACAGAAATCACAGACGCGGACCTCTGGGCATCAATAAGGGAAAAAGCACCAGTCATTCAAGTGAGGAGACTCGGCAAGACAGAGGCGGTAAAGCTTGTCTTCTCCACCAGAACCTCACCAGAATACGTCTTTGTGGGACACATACGATACAGTGTCCTTTCCTACCTCGAAAAACCGCGGCAGTGTCCTAAGTGTAACCGCTTCGGACATCTGGCGAGCACATGCTCCAAAACGCAACGCTGCAGCCGATGTGGTGGAGAACATGTCGTCAGCGAGTGCGAAGCGAAGCAACCAAGGTGCATAAACTGCAAGAGAGGCCACGATGCCACGTCCCGGAACTGCCCAGCCTACAAAGCTGAAAAGCAGATAACTAACTACAGAAGCTCGAACAATGTCGACTATACGTCTGCCAAAACTGTCATCACGAATGAACAAAAGGTTCGAGGACTGGAGAAGCACCGCACTCCCCACAAGCAAAAGCAAAGCTTGAAAGGAGACAAGAAAGCTATCATCCCAGAGATGAATGAAACCGATTTTCCTCCGTTGGATACGCTGTCATCAGAAATCATGCCGAAGCCAATGGTCCCGTCTGCAGAGCAGCCAGAGTCTTCACCCAAGAATGCAGAAGCTGTTTCGACTCAGAATACTTCTAAGAACCAAGAAGTACCAAGAAAATGGGTAAGAGAACACCCAGCTCAAAAGAAGCCAAGATTAGTTGCAACACCCAAGTCTCAAAGCCTTGGTGATGCGTTGTGCACAATTGTCACGTTGTTGCGCTCCTTCCTCACTTCTCTCCAGTCACCCATCGCTCAAGCAATGATCACAATTATCGACATTGTTGTTCCACTTGCCACTTCCTGATGCAACTAGACTGCTTCATCGGGAACAACACATCGCAAAGTGAAAAAACGAAACATACAAAGAATACACTTCCTCGCTGCAATAAAAGCAGCTTATTTCCCACAATAATACAGTGGAATGTCAATGGGCTTCGAAACAAGATGAATGACTTACGGCAACATTTACGGAGACACGAAGTCGAGGTACTCGCCCTTCAGGAAACCAACTTGAAGTCAGGAGCGATCCGATTATCCCCCTACGTTATCTACACTAGTACTCCCCGAACAACATCAACAACAACAGACGCACCTAAGGCATCTCTATTTGGACACAGAGACTTACCTCAGTTCCAAGTGGATCTTTCAGATCTCTGCGACCAAAGCGCAGAATACGTGGCTGTCACGATACAAAAAGACATCTCGGACGCCATGACAATCGTATCGGTATATATTCGGCCCAGTTCTCCTTGGAATCCTTCCATCTTACGCACGATCCTTTCTCGGTGTAAGCCGGCCACGCTGATCCTTGGAAACTTTAACGACCACAACGAGGCCTGGGGGGACAAGCAAACGTCCGCTCGTGGCCGGTCTCTAGAGGATACCACTACAGCTATTGGCCTCCGCTGTCTGAATGACGGCACTGCAACCTTTTGTGAGACCTGGCGTAGAGAGCAGTGTGCTCGACCTGAGTTTCGCCACCGCTGCAGTACGCGCGCTCTGGCTCGCCGAACCCGACAGCTGGGGCAGTGACCATCTCCCTATTATAATTACTTCCCAAGAGAAAAAACCTGTCACCCACAAGACTTGTTCTGTAACAAACTGGGATGCCTTCCGAGTGTACTTCGAAGATATAACATCTACTGGCACCACTGATCACACGACCGCCATCTCTCAGGCGCTCTGCAAAGCGACACGGAGAGTTACGGTTCCTATATATAGACCCAACGCGGACCTAAAATACTTAAGGCTACGTGCCTCGCGCCGCAAAGCACAACGACGTGCCTTGAAAACATCAAGACAAGGGGATATACAACGCTATCGAAGGATTGATGCGGCATTTCGTAGGCATACCAAGCGCTTACAACGGAAACAATGGCGACAGCGATGTGAGACCCTTCACTCTCCCGGTGGCGGAAGGCAAGCATGGCGAATGGCCCGCATCCTGGCGGGTCATGCTGTTCCCCGCTCACCGGTCCTTGGCCTTGTTATCGCGCAGAACATCACGTTGCCTCAAGCCGCGGAACTCCTTGCTGATGAATTCACCTCTGCTCCCGCTCCGCCACCGGGATTTGTCGAAGCCACTGCTACCAGCACGCCAGCGCAGGTTGCCAGCAACTCCGATTTCACGCTAAATGAACTACAGCATGCTCTTCAGCGTTCTTCTCGGAAACGCACCGCACCAGGCCCAGATGGGATAACTTTTCAAGCGCTTCGTAACCTTAATGATACGACGCTTCCTGGCCTTCTGGAATACTTAAATCATATTTGGCGCTCGTCTGATATTCCTCCTGCCTGGCTCAGATCTGAGGTTGTTCCCGTTCATAAACCAGGAAAACCGATAGGTGTCACCAGCTCCTACAGACTGATATCCCTTACATGTTGTCTAGGGAAGGTGATGGAGCGAATGGTCCTACGGCGCCTTGACTGGCAGCTCGAGACATCGGGCGCCCTGCCTAATCAGCTGTCTGGCTTCCGCAAACAACGTTGTACGACAGACGCGATCGGCAGCCTCGTATCAGACATGGAACAATCGAAGGCAACAAGGCAAGCAACAACAGCAATATTTCTCGATATTAAGAAAGCATTCGTTGCAATTCCACACGAAACCATTATTGCTCAGCTTACAAGGCTCGGGGTTGCAGGCCGAGCTCTGGCATTCGTACGCGCCTTTCTTACAGGAAGGTCTATGCACGTACGCCTAGGTGGAATTCGAAGTTCCCAACGTACGGTAACCCAAGGCGTTCCCCAGGGCAGTGTTATAAGCCCCCTCTTATTTAACGCTGCTATGGCGGCACTGCCTGAGGCTCTACGGCGTATGAAGTCATCGGGACCTGTCATTAACATCGCAATATACGCTGACGACGTGGCCCTCTGGACTACCGCCCCGACTAAGGTATACAGCAAGATGCAACAAACCCTCCAGGACGGATTGACTATAGTTGTAGACGAGATTTCTAGACTAGGCCTTACGCTTTCCGCCTCCAAAACAGCTGCCCTTCAATACCATCCAACGGCTAGAGCATCGATCAACAAAATCTACACAATTAACGGAACAGATGTAGCACGTGTCCGAACGTACTCCTACCTGGGATTTCTTCTGGATGACCGCATCTCCTGGAAGCCTGCAGTCAAGGCAACACTGATCAGATGTCGCCTCCACCTCAATGCCGTTCGAATGATGATGGGCAGCAGGTGGGGAACGTCTCAGGTCATGATGCTACAGTTATACAGAGGCCTCATTCTTTCGAGATTATTATACGCCTTGCCGCTGATTCACTTGAGCAATGCACAGTCTGCAGCCATTGAGACCCTGCAAAGGATTGCACTTCGCTTCTGTCTGGGTTTACCGAGATACTCCCCGAACATTCCAACGCTGGTTGAAGCGAGGGTCAACCTTGTCGAGAACCACGGCAGAGAGCTGACACTTCGCCACATCGCAAGGCAAACATCCTGCCGGTCAACAGAGTCCCTCTTGAACCATATTCGAAGTTGTCCTCAATCTCGCCTTGGATCTCTCGCTAGAGACTTTGGAGGAATTGTGGGCCCCTTAGATAGAATCTACCCGGCACCACCACCTTACGCCTCGCCGCTGAACATCAGTGAATCTATTCCGGAACTCAGAAGCAAACGCTTCACAGCCCAAGTTGTCGCTCGGACCCTCGCAGAATACCGAATTGAGGTGGATTTTCTAGGATGGATCCGTGTATATACCGACGGCTCGGTACTTCATAGCCGCAAATCATCCACTGCAGTTTTTTTTATACCGGAACTAAAAATGGCCAAATCAAGGAAACTGAGCTTTCACACTACATCTACCACTGCCGAACTTGCCAACCTTTGGCTAGGCCTTGACATCCTCGACAGTATCCCTCACAGTGGAAAGGCAGTGTTCCTCACAGATTCCAGAATAGCTTTACAACTTCTCGGTAGCCTTGAAGACGCCCCACAATATGCCAGATACATTGGACACATGGCAAGAAACCTAGAGTCTAAAGGATGGCATATAGCATACCAATGGCTGCCATCAGACGTCGGTATCTCGGGCAATGAGACAGCCGACCGTCTCGCTAATGCAGCTCACCACATTCATGTACCAACACTTGTTATACCAAAAATGTATGAGTCCAGACTTATTATTCACAAAGAAATAGAGAAACTTCATCCGGACACGCGCGTCTCTACAGGGAAGCCACCCGCACGCGTGCCTCCAAAGCTGTCCCGAGCCTCCGCTCCTCTACTGCACAGACTTCGCACTGGTAGTGCCTTTACTGCGAAAGCCCTTCACCGTATGGACCCAACAATAAACCCAAACTGTCCATCCTGTGATGTTCTCGAGGACCAGGACCATCTCCTCTGGACCTGCCCTACTCTAGCGGACAAAAGAAAATCGCTTCTCGACGGCCTGCGGCAAGCAGGCGTAGCAAGTGCTACAACACAGGACGTTCTTTTTCCCACAGGTTCTGCACGCGATGTCTCGAGAACATTCGCCGCACTTCTCAGGTTCTTGGAGGACACCAGTTTATTTGACCGCCTCTAACCCCGGTGTCTGACATACACTGGGCGATGGCAACACTTCAATAACCGAGCCACAAGAACTGCTGACCAATTGTTTTTTTTTATTTTTTATTCTTTCTTCCTTTTCCTTTCTGATCCCTTTTCATTCCATTTTTTCCTCCCTTCTCTTTTCAATCTGTTCTTTTTCTTTACCTCTCTTCTTTCTTTAACTTTTTCTCATCTCCCCTTTCATCCCCCTCCCTTCCCCGGAACTAACTCGCCCCCACTAAAGGAGTGGCCAACATGTTCCGGCTTTCCGCTACCCTCACCACTAACTGCTACTACTAGATTATTTGTTTCTCAAACATTGAAAAAGAAAATACAGTCTGTAACAATACTATGACGGCCAAAAAGAAAAACAAGTTTCCAACGAACATTTCACACGTCAATCATCCCTCCAAAGGATGAGAGCCGAGAAAAGGCGCCTAGCTTTAGCTAACCACCTATCGTTATGTGCACGGGATCTAAAGCAGGGCTATGCCTGCAACTAAATGGCATCTAACAACGTAAATATTGCACAGTATATATATATATATATATTTCGTGTGTGAAAAAAAAACAAACAAAAAAAACTAGTGCTTTCTATCTAGGCTTTTATTTTTTTTATTTTTCATTTTCGAGTTTTTTTAAGTCGTGCTTGAGGCACGTCCGGCGATAGTCCGGACCTTTCGTCTGCAACGAACAACGTGCATTTAGTCTGATGTCTGTACGAGCAGAGCGACTGCAGCTTTGCACAAAGATTAAATTAAGAATCCTCACTGATAAAAAAAAAATGTGATTGAGCACGAAGAATGCCCCGCGTTACGTATAGTCCGGCTCCCCAACATGGCGATGGCCGATCGAAAATTTTCCGTGTCCGCAATTGTGGAGAGGAAAGACAAGATTCAGAAAACTCGTCGTAGAGATCAGTGCTTTGCTCTCTATGTGTTGTTCATGTTTAGGAATATAAAGACCCAGAAGTGTTCGAGGGTTCTTCCATCGCCATTTTATTGCGTACGTTGAGTCCATTTAAGACGGGTTCTCGGGCGGAACGTACGGGTGGATGTCGAGGGAACCATTAGGAAGGTGCTCGTGGATCCATTCTTCACGGTTGTAGCAAGCGCCGTTGACGCAAAACTGCAAATGCAGTAGCACTCGTTAAGGGCTGCACAAACAGGACACGCTTTCTGGTGAGCACGGCAAAAAGAGCTTGTAGGCTTCCCAAGAGATGAAAACGTTGCGGAGCGCGCGTTCGTTTTCCGCGAGGACATCAACCGTGCAAACAGAACGGATTCCTTCTCTCCTCGTAGCTGTCGTCCCCTCCCCTTCCTTGTTTTCAGGGTGCTGAGGACTGAAAACAACAGCGGAGGCCTTGAGGACTGTATGAGTGGATACTTCCTGGTCCTAAGGACGCGGAGCTCCCAAAATATTTTAAGAGCCTGTATCGCATATGTAGGGTGACCCAAGTCACCAGGCTCGACCTAAAATGAACCGTAAAAATAGACGCCTGCACGTAGCAATCTAAACTTTTCGTCAAAGTTGTATTTCACAGGTCGGATTTTTATTGTAAAATTACAAAACGTAGCACTTTTTCTGTAAAAAATAGGGCCAAGAAACTTGCCAGGGTCTACGGCGGGTGGCGGCGCAGACGACCAAGTCCGTTCGTATTGATAGATGGCGCTACCTCCTTATCGCAACAGCTCGCGACCACCGTGGTTTATTAAAATGATCATAATTTCTTTTTTGAATGTACCTTTGGTTGAAAAATAAATCCAGATAAAAAAAGCAAAACCTAAAAAAAAAAAAACGCATCTGCATAACGACGGCGTTTTTGCTGCCAACGGATTTCCTCTCTATGTCGTCTGCTTTCTTTCGCTGGTCGGCTGAACCTTCGGGCGTTGCTCCTGACGCCATCTATCAATACGAACGCCAAACACACCTCGCTACTGGTCTTAGTCGGGCGTCGATTTTTACGGTTCATTTATGGTAGAGCCTGGTGGCTTGAGTCACCTTATATATCACGCAATGCACACTCCGTCCCCCCCCCTCCCCTCTCCAGAAAAAAAGAAAAAGAAAAAGGCCTATGGGTGGGAGACTGTAAACACCGCGCGATACATCAAGAATTTCTCTTTAATTAAACAATTTACCACACAGGGCGCTTGATTTTAATTCGAACTTAATAATTAACTGAAACGTGTTAATGAACTTCTTAATTATTGGTCTTAGAGGTCACATTGCAATTGCAGTTTTGACGGCAATTATTATTAGAGATCAGACCAGTTGAAAAAATTGGCGAAAAGTTGGTTTCTAAGATATTAATCGGTCAATTTTTGCGTTTTTTCGCTCGATCTAAGAATTGAACTCATAAAGAGTGCCGCAAGCCCTTCCCACAATGACAGTTGGAAGAGTGCCGTAGTCGTTTAAATTATGTCGTCGCTATGCCGACAGCGTGTCCTTGGGAATTGTGCCGACGAGACAAGCGAAGCTGTGTCTGAAACAACAACGTCCCTCTCTAAGCGTCATTGTAATTAGTGTTTGCGGCGCATTTTCTTTTCTTCTCATTTTTTTTCTTTTTTGCACAATTTTTAAGTCAGGCGGAAAAAAAAAACGAAAATGGTTATATTATTAGGGACTTTTAGCAAACCGTTACCGTGTTTCGCGTACCCCACTACCGGAGCCTTTGAAGCACGCTGGGCTGTTCCCTCCATGTCGTTTCTTCAGTCTCAATGCTGTCTCAGGCTAGTCAAACGCAGGTGTCTGAACCGACATTAAAGGGACACAGAGACCTCAAGGCCCTATTTGTTTTTGTCGTCAAAAACGATGCAAGCTGTAGTATTAAACACCTAGAAACAAACAAAAGATACCAGAACGCGCTAACGAATTTCACGCACACGCGCGCGCCTTTCAATTTTAGGCGCCCTTCTTTCCCGCTCCTCACCTCCTCGCTTCTTTTTATTTGTGTCGTAATCGATTGTGAAATTTAGAAGCTTTGTAAGCGAAATATCTATAATATTTAGCAACGGCATCCGTAAAACATTTTTTTTTTTTTTGTAACGCAATCTGGAGCGCACTACGGCCCTTATTTTTGAGATACCTAAAATCGGAGTCCGGAGTGATGTCGCATCCTGACTTAATTTTTACCCTCACTCGAAAAACACGGCAGCGCTCGACACATGTAGAACTGAGGGTGATCGGTGAGTCGGGGAATCGGACGAAGTTGTCTTTTTTTAGGTGCCCGACGTCCTCTGAAACCTCTAAAAGGAAATCGTCACACGGTCCAAACAACTGGGTTTGGTGTCTGTGTACCGTAGTTTCTGTTGTGACTCCGCCGGGGCAGCCTTTCACGCAAAACCGGCGTGACGTGACCCCTCCCATCGCTCACAAACGTCCACTGCGCGTTTTCTTCGGCCTCACACCGTTTCCAAGAATTTGAGATCGCTGAAAGGATCCTAAAAGAACTTCAAACTCGGAAGTGAAGCGTCGTCTGCTCACGGCGATGGGGGGCACTCACGGAGCGGTTGATCGCGGAACGTTGGCGAACACGACACGGACGCGTGAGAGACACTGGTGCAGATTGCGCAGGAAGTTCAAATTTGGCTTTGGGAAATTATTTTTTTTTTATTCACAAATACTTCGTTCCCAAGCTTCGAATCTTGAGGACAATGTCCAGGCATCGTTTTCAATCGTTTCGGGCAATAAAAAAATAATTTTGACCCGTCAGTGATACACACACACACACACAAAAAAAAAAAAATGTTTGCGTAAAATTTATTTTGCGACACGCGTGTCCCTACTAGACTGATTTAAAAAAAAAAGTTCTTTCCGGGGGTCCTTTTTGGCTCGTTGACACGATTGCATTTGACTACGGCTGACTGAGACAAGACTGCTTTTAAGCCTTTTATAGCGGCTTAGGACTGGCGGTGCAGTAAAGGCCCGTTCACACACCTGCAACCGAGTACGACCGTAAGAGACAATAGCGTTTTTTAAGCCTCTTACTACGTCTGACCAGCTCCGCAGCAGCGCACCCAGTCCTAAGACGTCTTGTCTCTCTCGGTCGTACTCGGATGCAAGAGTGTGAACGATGCTCAAAGCGCGATCCAAACGAACGCGTTTTTGTGCGGGGGTGGGCCGTGCGCTTCCCGGAAATTGCGTATTTCGTGACGTCGCGCTGATTCCATGCACCTTCCGGGTGCGCATAAGAGAGTTGGATGATTTCAACTTTTTCATAACGCGCACGAAAACGCGCTGTGACGTAGTAGGGTCCTCCTCTCCCATACCCTTTCCCGGCCAATGGGTGAAGGCGTTTCTTCGCCGTCTGGCGCACATGCTGGCCGCTCGCCCGAAAGCACTCCGTCCTCACGAACGCGCACGCTTGGGACTCAGAAAGCGCACCGGAAACAGCAAGAACGTCACAAAATACGTAATATCCGGGAAGCGCACGAGCTACGCGCGCACAAAAACACGTTGGTTTGGATCGCGCTTAATGCAGCCGGTGGTAAGCAGTCACAAGAGACTCGAAACACCGGTCTTGACTTAGTCGGTCTTAGTCAAATGTGAGTGTGTGAAGGGGCTTTTAATCTTTCCCGTCGTAACCAGAGGTACGTATGTGAACGCCTTAAAACCACTTTCTGCGATAGTCTATTTATGGTCATAACCTATATTATATGTAGTCCCTAAGCATCCTAAAATAACAAACATTACATTCATGTGTGACCGATGTTTCTATTACAATCGGTAACAAAGATCGATTGCCTCGGAATACTCTCGTTGAGACCTGAAGGCGCAGTCGCTAGAGGAAGGACAGGGTTCTGCCCTTCCTCAAGCCTCGTCCAACGGCGACCTCTGGTGTCTCGATCTTTGATACCAATTTTAGTAAAAATATCGGCCAAGCATGATTTAATGTTTTATTTTTTATTTTTTAAGATTCTTAAAGCCCGTAGATTAAATTATTAGCATAAAGAGCCTATCGCAGTAAGTGGTTTAGTGCCCCTCCTCTTCTTTTTT